TTATTGGCCAATTAACGCATTCAGAATTAAAAAACAAACAAACAAGCCTTTAGAGCCAAGCCAGGCGGGAAAAACGGCTAAGCTCGGCTCGGCTCCGCTCAGCGCAACTCGGCGCGAGTCGGCTCAAGGAGCGCTCGGCGCGCGGCCTCAGCCGCGGCTCGGCGCTCGGCTCCAGCCTCGGCTCCAGTACGCGGCGCGCGTGCGGGCGCAGACGGCGGCGCGTGCGTGGCCGCCGGACGCGCGCTGTGATGGCGCGTGCAGGCGCGTTAGCAGGGGCATCCGGCGCGTGTGGCGCGTGGCTGCGCATGGTGGTGCGCTGGCACCGCTGGAGGCGTCATCAGCGCGTGTATCACACGCGCCGCCTTCCCGGGTGTTTTTCGGTCCGATTTTTATACTGCCGGACTCTTTTTTCAAAATGAAAAACCGTTTATGGTCTTAAAAAAGACATTAATAAACATAAAAAAAATATTTTATGCTCTTAATTAATCAAAGTAGATTTTTTTTTTCTTTACAAAACATTCATGTATATATTGTAAACATACACATGTAAAATAAACACAATGATTAAGAAGAAATACGAATATCCATCAAAGGCTCTGATACCAATGTAAATCAGGTTCACAAAACTTGCAGCGGAATAAAATGTTTAGATCATACCTGATTCGATCTAAAACCTCATGGATAAATCACGTTGCTTCCAGAATCTATCAATGCAATCCCAGCAGTGGGGTGATATTACAATGGTGAATATCACCCACACAAAACCACAGTGCAAAATGACTTGATCGTGTGTTTCTTGGGAGAGACTAAGTTTATGGGTGAAAACAAAAAATCTACGTTGTTTCTCTCTTTTGTTTACTCATAACCATTATATCAGATATATATATTATATTTATAATTATTTATCCATATCAGTTAAAACTGATAATTATCTATATCCTGAGTGGTTATTCCCTAAATAGGTTTGAATTTAATTTCAAAACCTTTTGGATAAGATCCAAATTATGTTCAAATGGTCATGCCACATGGGGCCCATTTACTAACATGAAGATTCGCTGTGAAGCTGAGTGTAAGGATTTTCAGCTCCAGTTCCATATCATTTCAGTACACACTTTCTGCAGCCACCAAACACAACATACAAGCAGACTAAGAAAAGAGAAAGAGAAAGAGGAAGAGAGGCAAAACCAGATTAGGGTTTGTAGTGACTCTGAAACTCCGAGCTCAGAACTGTTGAGTAACATCCAGTGCTGCTGATCCTCTTCAGGAGGCTCCAGTTCTACTTCGTAGTTTGTTTATACTGCAAAAATCGAATGACGATCCTCTCTGTCATCTCTTCCTTTTTAACTCCCTATTTGCTCGGACTCACTTTTGAGGTGTAATTTTGATGTTCTCAATCGTTTTATATTAATATTTGTTAAAATATATTTATATTTATAAATAATTAAATTAATTAGATATTAAAAAGTATATGTTTTGAAAAATTATTTATTAAATTTTTAAAAAATCAAACCTTTAAAAGATGAAATCGTTCATATTTTAATATTATTGCTAATATTTAAATTTTTAATTTGTTGAGTGTATTATACTTGTAAAAAATAAAACTGTTTATATGTACCATATAGTATACTAATTAGTGTATCAATTGATGATGTGATATAATTTAAGATTTTTTAATATTTTGTAATTTGTATAATGAGTGCGATCAATAATAATGTCATAACTAATGTTAGTACACTAATTATGTATGTAACACTACTGCTCGTTCTTTAATATATATTTTTTTATTTTTTACTTGTTTCCTATGAACACTTTATAACAAGATTTTTAGTCAAAAAATCACTAAAAATGATCACATTATTATCTTCATTTTTCTGTACATCTTTCTATATATAAAAAATAAAATAGTCAATTATTTTATATAATGAATTGATTACAAATGAACTTTTAATGTATCGAACACAACAAGTCAATGTTGAGTGATTTGATTTTTTATATTTCATTAAATTTATGAGACTAAGTTATAGATTGTTTTAAACTTGATTAAAACATGTCAAGCTTAAAGTTGTATTAAAACTTAACTCATTTACATAATGAGCCAATATTGAATAATTTTTTGGAGAAAGATTATGGTACACACTCCTCAAATGGTGTTTGTGTTATATACACCTTATAAAATGATATAATTTCATACTTTTGGAGTTATAACTATATAAAAAAAAATTATAACCAAATAAACACTGAGTCGTAACTAAAATAAGATCATAATTAAAAAAAAAAAATTGTCATAATTAAATAAAAAATGGTATAACTTAGAGGTGAAATGGTTAGAAGGTGTGTATAATAAAATTTTCTAAAATTTTAAAAATATAATCGAGTTGGAGTATCTTCAATGTTTTTTTTGATAGGAAGTATGGATCCCATAAGTAAGGACCCAGATTTTATCTATAATGAATATATGTGATGGAAATTAAGGTCTCATTTGTCAATTATATATTTTAGTCAAAAAAATTATAATTATCATATCATTCTTTCTACTTTTTTGTACATCTTTTCATAAAAATCAACAAATTACTATAAAATAACATATTCCTAAATAAGGCCTAAATTGATTAAATATGAGATTCACGAGTTAAAGAATTTAACCATTAATTATTTATGATATAATTTTCAATAAATAATCCTAATTAATCTTGCTAAAGAAGAGTTATGGCTGAAGAAATTTTTGCCAGAGTTGGGTTTGAAGCAAGAAAAGTATGTGCTTTATTGTGATAGTCAAAGTGCTATTCACTTGAGTAAAAATTCTACTTTTCATTCGAGATCAAAACACATTGATGTGAGATACCATTAGATTCGTGATGTGTTAGATTCGAAATTATTACAACTCGAAAAGGTTCACATAGATGATAATATTTCGGATATGTTGACTAAGACTTTGTCGAGGGACAAACATTTAAAGTGTCGAACTTTGGCGGGTATGGTTGATGTCTCCACCTAAGTCGGTAGGGGGAGAATTGTTGGGATATACCTCCTTATTGGTGTGTGTGGGACCCAATTGGTTTATTAAAAGAGGTTTAATTTGGCTTAGTTTAGTATAATATATTTTTATATATTATATTTGAAGAAACCCAATCCAATTTGGATACAACTAGGGTTTAGTTACAAAACCCTAAATTCATAATATTGGAAGAATTGGTTTTTTGTTCAACACACAAAAAGTGAACGGCGGCTGCTACATGAAACATATTGCTTCGGTAATAGTGCCTGGGAATTTGACAATTGGGAAAGACAAATCAAGAGTGCTTGATTTGTTCAAGCTTTGGTTTTCTTTGTGTGGTTGATGTTTGGTTCGTTATTTTGGGTCTTCTTCAACTTTGGTTCAGAAGATTTTGGTTCTTCTATTTGGTGAGGTCTTTCCTCTTTGTTTATTTGTGATTATTTGGAATTCACCTAAAGGTGATTTTTGTGAGACCATTAGTGTCTCGTTTGTAATCGTTTGGAATTATTTGGTTGATAGTGGAATCGGATTTCGATCCCGTGGACGTACCTCACATTGAGGGAACCACGTAAAAATTCTTGTGTTGCCTTTGATTTAATTTTTCCGCATTAATTTTATTCCCATTGATTGATTTACTTGTGGGGAATCATCGATTTTCCCTAACAACAGTTTAAACAATCTATAACTTAGTCTCATAAATTTATATGAAATATAAAAAATCAAATCACTCAACATTGACTTGTTTGTGTTCGATACATTAAAAGTTCATTTGTAATCAATTCATTATATAAATAATAATTGACTATTTTATTTTTTATATATAGAAAGATGTACAGAAAAATGAAGATAATAATGTGATCATTTTTAGTGATTTTTTGACTAAAAATCTTGTTAATAAGTGTTCATAGGAAACAAGTAAAAAATAAAAAAATATATATTAAAGAACGAGCAGTAGTGTTACATACATTAATTAGTGTACTAACATTAGTTATGACATTATTATTGATCGCACTCATTATACAAATTACAAATATTAAAAAAATCTTAAATTATATCACATCATCAATTGATACACTAATTAGTATACTAATAGGTACATATAAACAGTTTTATTTTTTACAAGTATAATACACTCAACAAATATTAAAAATTTTAATATTAGCAATAAATATTAAAATATGAACGATTTCATCTTTTAAAGGTTTGATTTTTTGAAAAATTTAATAAATAATTTTTCAAACATATACTTTTTAATATCTAATTAATTTAATTATTTATAAATATAATATATTTTAACAAATATTAAAATATAAACGATTGAGAACATCAAAATTACACCTCAAAAGTGAGTCCGAGCAAATAGGGAGTTAAAAGCGAGAGATGACAGAGAGGATCGTCATTCGATTTTTGCAGTATAAACAAACTACGAAGTAGAACTGGAGCCTCCTGAAGAGGATCAGCAGCACTGGATGTTACTCAACAGTTCTGAGCTCGGAGTTTCAGAGTCACTACAAACCCTAATCTGGTTTTGCCTCTCTTTCTCTTTCTCTTTCTCTTTTCTTAGTCTGCTTGTATGTTGTGTTTGGTGGCCTGCAGAGAAGTGTGTACTGGAAATGATATGGAACTGGAGCTGAAAATCCTTACACTCAGCTTCACAGCGAATCATCAAAACAAAGTCTTTCGCTTCAATTCACTCTCTCTTATCACCAATTGAATGTTCTATTCACAAAATTGAAAATTTCTCTACAGCAACACACTATCGACAAGTACTTCCAAAGACTTCTTCTAGAACCTTACTCACCCCTCAAACAGTGCATTGCACTCTACACAACTGCCCTTCTGATTTGATTTCTCTGAGCTTCTTCTTGTGGTGTGCTTGGCAACCACACTACTTCCATGATCGAGGTGCGTTTGATCACATGGCTAATGTGGTCTCTTGCCTAGCCCGACAGTTGGGAACAGTGAAAGGACTTATTAAGCAATTAGAGGGTGTTGGATGTGTCATATGGATGCGTTGTTCAAGATTGGGCTCGTTGATGTAGCCCTTCGAGTGTTTAAGGAGACACAGGACCCAAATTTCTTGACATTTAGCACTGCCATTTCTAATTTATGCAAGCTCAGTGATTTGATGAATATGTAGGATGTGCTCAAGGAAATGTTGAGAAAGGGGTATTGCCTTAATTCCGGAACCTTTTCAATGGTTCTTAATTGTTTTTGCAAAATGCGTAGGCTGGCGGAGGCATTACAACTATTGGGTCTGATGATTACTTTGGGAATTCCCACATCCGTGAGTGTTTGGAGCATTCTGATTGATGGGTACTGCAAGTTTGACAATCTTGTTATTGAGAGGGTAATTTATAACGAAAAATTGGGCCGAGCCATGATCCTTTAATCTCTGTTTTGGGCAGGACTAAAAGGCCGGAGTGTGGACGTCGAGTAGCTCGGTCCCATTTTATCTGAGTACCAAACTAGGCAAAGGCGTTGACCAAGCTACCTAAAACTAGGCCCAAGGGTTGGCCGAGGTGTTTGGTAAGATGGAGGGCCGAGCCAGGTGTAGCTCGGCCGATGCTTTCATTTCATTACTTAGTTGAGGGTGTGACTGAAGTAAGGTAGTTCAGTTATGTTGCACCGGCCAAGACAAAGGAGAAAGCCATCTCACTTGGCTAGCAGTGGGTAGGGTGTTACCAGGATATGCGTTATCCTTGGGAAAGTAATTCCTATAAGGACTCTGCTGAGGAGGGTTAGAGTCCTACTAAGATTGTGCCAGGGATTTGTGATTCCCAGGAGGACTCTTATAAGTAGAGTTGGAATCCTACTAGGATGGTACCAGACAGAATCTATAAAAGCTCATAGCAGGACCTATGGACAGATATCACAATTTTGACTCTCAAATATACATTCAGTGAGTAAAGCGACAACGTTTGGAGGAAGCGCAAACTTGATCAACAGGATTATATGAGAAGATTATTTCGCGCTCGTACAATTGGCATCGTCTGTGGGAATACATAAAGAACAAAACCTTTTGATCGAGTTTCCCTCTCTAGTTGAAATCAATGGTGCACAATGAAGACTTGCCGCAATCCGCTATTGACAGGCAAACCCCTGAACGGGGTGGGAGGTGCGAATGTTTACCTTCTATCCCACCCATGGCAGAATTAGAACCCCAGCGACGGAACTCCCGGAGGGACACATGGGAGAGATGGGGCACTAGTCCTCGTCGCTCTCAAAGTTCTGAAAGACAGAGGCGGAGGTTGGATCCTCAAGTTCTAGAAGACCGCGTAAAGGAGCAAGACGAGTTAATAAAGAGGATGGCAGTAGACATGGAGACAACGAAGCGCCAGATAAAGGAAAAAAGGGTGGCGACAGAAGAAGGGCGCAAAGGCAACACGCCCTCTTACCACTCGGAAGATCGTGACAGACATATCACACCATCGCAAGCAGAAAGTCGGAGCCTTAGAACATGAGACACTCAATCAAGGACTTTCTGGACTCATTACTCCAAGTCTAAGAGAACGAGGACTGAAAGGTCGTATACGGAGGGTAGTAGTTATTGGCCCTCGCACACGCACCAAACGACATCTAGGCACACGGAGTTACCTAGGTCGGCGGATCTGCGAACAGTGCTCGAGGAAAAGGCCCGATGGAAGGAGGACACCAGGGCTCGCGATCCTCGCAGAGTTTCAGCCTTACTGCGATTGGCCCCGAGGACACACGGGAGTGTCGAGGTAGGGATGCCAATACCACGCCATGCTTATGAACCAGCAGATAAAGTATTAGCAAGGTTACAAAGCACGCCGTCCGTTCCGACAATTGAGAACGCAACACTACCCTCAGGCTTCCACCAGCCCCAAATTCACCACTTATGAGGGGAAGTCAGACCCCTACATGCACTTAAGCCACTTTCGCTAGGTTATGGCAGTATACCGGCGAAACGAAGCTCTAATGTGTATCCTGTTTCCATCTAGCCTTGGTGACCTAGGTCTGACCTGGTTCGAAAGGCTGCCAGAAGGCAGCATAGCCTCATGGGCACAGTGAGCAGAAGCGTTCGTGACTAGATTCAGAACGAATACCAAGATGCTAGTGAAGATTGACATAGGCGAAAAGGAGACGTTGAGGTCTTATAATAGTCGATATTAGGAGACTTTCAACCAGATTGGGGATTGCCCTACAAATCTCGCCATCACACAATACAAACGGGGGTTACTAGTCGGTAACAAATTGAGGGACTTAATGACAATAATGCCACCCCTTACGATAAAAGCCCTAATGGAGAGAGTGCATCAACATATTCGGGTAGAGGAAGATAGCACCTGTGCAAAAGCAAAATTTGGCACAACAGCGATGCCGGATAAAAAGACTACAACAAAAATCAACACGGTAGAACAACCAAGCTAGAATGGGCGAGGCAGAAGAGCCAACAGAGAGGACCCAGAAAAAAGGAAGTTAAGAATCCGCACTGCCATTACCACAGTATTCAACAAACCTATCTACCGGATTCTTAGCGAGATATGTGATGAACCCTTCGTTCGGCGGCTAGCCAAGTTGGGAGAAACACAAAAGGGCTATGATAAGAGGTCCCGTTGCACCTTCCATGATGAGAAGGGGCACCACACTGAAAATTGCACACCATTGAGGCAGCATCTGGAAGAGTTAGTGGCTGCTGGACACCTGGACCAGTATATAGAAGAGAGAACACAGCCAGCCCCCCAGGACCTCAATAGACCAAACGGGATGGCAGTTGACGGTCCATCCCAAGGCATAATCAATGTTATATATGGGATCGTCGAACCTGAGCGGGTATGCGAGCTCAGGGGGATGATCAAAAAGGCTAAGCACTTGAGAGAGGTATTAAGTGCATAACCCACCATCAAAAGGGACAGAACAGAGGCTACGAACGTCATATCCTTTTCAGACAGGGATCTAGCAAGGCTACATTGCCCTCACAATAACGCGCTGGTGGTCACTTTGCGCGTTAAGAATTTCGACATTAAGCGGATTCTAATTGACCAAGGAAGCTCATGCGAGACAATGTACTACGAGACCTTCAAACAACTGAAATTAGAGGGCAAAGACTTGGCAGCTGCGACATCTCCCCTTGTCGGTTTCAACTCAATGCCAGAGTGGCCAATGGGCAAGATAATCCTCCCAGTCAAGGCAGGAACCATGACAAAACAGGTGAAATTCTAGGTATTGAAGGTCCCTTCCACTTACAATATAATCTTGGAAAGGGTATGGCTGCATGCCATGCGCTCAGTGGCGTCAACCTACCATCAGGCATTACGATTCCCTAATGAAACCAGCGCGATTGAAGAAGTCTTAGGAGACCAAATCATGTCGAAGCAGTGTTTCGTCACAGTAAGTGGCAGCCGTGCTGTAAAAGAGTTCGTTCAGATGGTAGAAGAGCCAGAAAGCAACGAACTGTTTGTAGATGTCGGCAAAGCAGCAGAGCAGAAGGCAGTGGAAGACCTAGTTGAGGTAATGATTGATGAAAAGAATCCATGAAAGTTCTTTTTGCTTGGATCGTCTTTGTCCAGCACTGAGAGAATAGATGTCATAGAATTCTTAACCTCTAACATCGAAGTGTTTGCCTGGACACCATACGACATGCCTGACATTGACCCAAATTTTATCTGCCATCAACTTAATGTCCACCCAACTGCCAGGCCAATTATTCAGCGAACTCACCGATCGGCACTCCACCACACAAAGATAATAGCAGAAGAGGTAGGAAACCTGCTAGAAGCAGGAGCCATCAGAGAAGTACACTACCTCAGGTGGATCTCCAACACAGTGGTAATACCAAAGAAGAACGGCAAGTGGCGCGTTTGTGTGGACTACAAAACGATCAACAAAGCATGCCCAAAAGACAGTTTTCCCCTACCACGGATAGACCAACTGGTGGATCTGACGGCAAGGCATAATCGACTTAGCTTTCTTGATGCGTATCGGGGTTACTATCAGATCGCTATGCATGAACCAGACCAGGAGGTTACGTCAATTACAACGCCCAGAGGACTATACTATTACAAGGTCATGCCCTTTGGTTTAAAGAACGCAAGGGCTACATTCCAACGGATGGTCATTAAAATGTTTGAACCATAGTTAGGCAAAACGATTGAGGCTTACATAGATGACATAGTGATCAAAAGCAAGGATGAGAAGGACCATCTCAGGGACCTAGATGAAATGTTCCAGATTTTAAAGTCCCACAAGTTGCGCCTAAACGCATCTAAGTGTGCATTCGGCGTAGGATCAGGCAAGCTCCTAGGTTTTCTAGTGACCAATCGGGGTATAAAAGCTGATCCCTTTCAGATCAAAGCAATCCAAGACCTTGAGAGGCCTAACATAGTCAAAGAGGTACAGCATTTCACTGGCCTAGCAGCCGCATTCAATCTGTCTATAAGTCGGTTGTCAGATAGATGTCGACCATTCTTCCAAGCATTGAGGGCCAAATTTGAGTGGGATGAAGAATGTGACCGCACCCTAGAAAGCTTGAAAGACTACATGACCTCTCCTCCGTTGTTGGTAACCCTGGTGCCAAGAGAAGAGCTCTTTTTGTACTTAGTAGTTTCACAGCATGCAGTAAGCGTAGTGTTGGTTAGAGCGGAAGGAATCCAACACTTGTCCATCTTTTATGTTAGCAAGACCTGGCTGGGCGCAGAAACAAGGTACCTACCATTGGAAAAACTGGCCTTAGCTTTGATGATGGCCTCAAGAAAGTTGTCACACTATTTTCATGCCCATACTGTGATTGTCCTAACAACTTTTCCCTTAAAGGCTTTGTTTGAGAGGACAAATTTTTCTGGGCGAATCTTGAAGTGGGCAGTGGAGTTGGGGCAGTTCGATATCAAGTTTCAACCCAGAACCGCAATAAAAACCCAAACTTTAGCAGACTTTATGGCTGAGTTCACACTAAGAAGTCACCACATCTGCCCGGTCAATTTGACCAACGCAACCGAAGTGAGGGGGAAAAGTGTCGCGAGAACTGTGCAGCCCCCAATGCAAGATGCCTAGCTACAAGGCAAGCCGTATAGGCTTGAGGACCAGAAGGAAGGAACAAACCATGCTGTTCCCAATGGGGATTCATCAAAGAGCAGAGACTTAAGGCAGTCAGACAGTGAAGATCAAATCCCAACAGCAGGCATGGACTTGGAAGAAAACATCAGCAACACCCATAATTCCAAAACATTATCCGATCCATCTACTTGCTGGAAGCTATTCGTCAGAGAGATGTGGAAGCTCTTCGTGGATGGGGCATCCAACAGGCATAGTGCAGGACTTCACATAGTCCTCATCTCACCGGATGGCCTAACAATCGAACATGCAGTCAACCTTGGCTTCCTAGCATCCAACAACGAGGCAGAGTATGAAGCGCTGTTAGCAGGCTTAAAATCAACACTTTTCATGAAGGCAACCGAGCTAATTGTATACAGTGACTCCCAGTTGGTAGTAAACTAGATTTCAGGCGACTACGAGACAAAAGATGACAGGATGACTAAGTACCAAGAGTTAGTCAGAAAGGAGATTATGAAGTTCGAAGTAGTCCGGATAGAACAAATTGGTCAAGAAGAAAATAGTAGAGCAGGCGAGTTGGCAGGCTTTGCTTCAATGGAAGATACATTTATCCCACACTCATTATTGATCGACTTCCTAGCTAGACTAAGTATTGAGGAACCCGAAGCAGTCGAGACATATTGTGCTGAACTAGGCCCATCCTGGATGGATCTCATCATAGTATTTTTAAAAGATGGCATCTTACCTGAAAAAAAGAAGGAAGCCAACAAAATTAGAGTAAAATCACAGCGATTTTGGCTCTTCCCATCATTGGCATTGTACAGAAAATCCTTCACAGGACCTTACCTGAAATGTGTCCATCCCAGCAAGGTCGAGGCATTTTTGTTCGAGATACACGAAGGCATATGCGGAAGCCACCAAGGGGGAAGGTCATTGGCTTACAGAGCAATTTCACAAGGATATTGGTGGCCATATATGCAAGCAAATTCAGAGAAATATGCCAAGAGGTACGAGAAATGTTAGAAGTTCGCACACCAAATACATCAACTAGCCAGAGAGCTTCTACCATTAACTAGCCCGTGGCCTTTCGCAATGTGGGGCTTGGACATAGTGGGACCACTTCCAACTGCACCTGGCAACAGAAAGTTATTTCTTGCGGCAACAGACTATTTCACAAAGTGGGTAGAGGTAGAAACACTTGCATCAATAAAGGAGAAAGACGTTAAGAAGTTCATCTGAAAGAACATCATAACTCGATTCGGCATACCCAAGGCTCTAATATCTGACAATGACACTCAGTTCTATGGCAAAATTTTCAGGGGCTTTTGCGAAGAATACAAGATAGAATTCTACAACTCTACACTAGCATACCCTCAAGCAAATGGCCAGGCAGAAGCATCAAACAAAGTCGTCTTAGATGGTTTGAAAAGGTTGGAGAGAGCAAAAGGCAAGTGGGCTAAGGAGTTTCCTCATGTTTTATGGGCTTACCGTATCACACCTCGGCGGTCAACTAGAGAAATGCCTTTTTTCTTGGCCCAAGCAATAATCTCACTAGAAGTAGGCCTCCTTACTATTAGGAGTGAAAATTTTAACCCAAACTTGAATGAAGAAGCTATAACCTTGGAACTCGACCTTGTAGAAGAGAGAAGGGAAAGAACACTAGTTCACATTGCCTCATACTAGCAAGAGTTATCCAAAAAATATAACAAAATAGTACATCCGAGATAGTTCAAGATTGGAGATTGGGTACTGCACAAAGTAATGAGCAACATTTTGGTACCTGGAGATGGCAAGTTAAGACTTAACTGGGAAGGACCATACAAAGTGGTCGGGTTAGTAGGAAAAGGGGCATATCACCTGGAAGATGGAGACAGCAAAGCTATTCCCAGGCCGTGGAACACTGCTAATTTCAAACTATTTTATTTTTAGCTTTTCTTTAAAATACTTGTAATTTTTCTTTTTCAAATAAAACAAGTAGTTTCTTTTTTAGCATAAATCTTTCTATTGTAAGAGTTGTTCTTAGCCCTTGCCAGCAAGGGGTAATGAAGAAGGTTGACAGGTATGATAAATAATTTTCTCTTCTTCAGCCGAGATAAGGATTAAGGCTGAAGAAGCTTGGTAGGATTGGCCAACATTTAGCTCTCTTTAGTCGAGATAAAGATCTACGTTGAAGAAGGTTGGCAGGTATGACCAATAATTTTCTTTTCTTCAGCCGAGATAAGGATCAAGGCTGAAGAAGGTTGGTAGGTTTGACCAATATTTTCTCTTCTTCAGCCGAGATAAGGATCTAGGCTGAAGAAGGTTGGCAGGTATGACCAACAATTAGCTTTCTTCAGCTGAGATAAGAATCTACGCTGAAAAATGTTGGCAGGTTTGACCAACATTCAACTCTTTTTTTCAGCCAAGATAAGGATCTAGGTAGAAGAAGGTTGGCAGATATGACCAACATTCAGCTCTCTTCTTCAGCCGAGATAAATATCTAGGCTGAAGAAGGTTGATAGGTATGACCAAAATTCAACTCTCTTCTTATCTAGGCTGAAGAAGGTTGATAGTGAAGCTTGGGTAACCAGCTTGGGGAATGATAGAATATCACCCCCTATTTATAAAAGAAGATTAGGGTTTACAAGAAATGCAATTTACAAGATGATCCCTGAGTGCTATCCCTGAGTGCATAAAATGATTACAGTGATTACAGACAGACCCTAGTGTGCCTTTCGGCGAATATAATATGCTATCACTTAATATAATATGCTAACAGATAGGTATGACCAAAATTCAACTCTCTTCTTATCTAGGCTGAAGAAGGTTGGCAGGCATGACCAACATTTAGCTCTCTTCAGTCGAGATAAGGATCTAGGTTGAAGAAGGTTAATAGATTACCGGGCTCTTGGAATGAGATAACTATCTCAGCCAGAAAATATGAAGAAATAGCAACCGAGCAAAGAGTTCAATCCTGATGCAATTAAAGTTGAAGGATACAATTACGAGAAGGGCTTGAACTGAACAAAAAGTTGAGAAAATTGTAGATTTCATTTAAGATTTTGGCATGCATTATAAGAGGAGGGGCATGAGCCCGGTTACAATTTCATTGAAAGAGAACGAAAGAAAAAACAAAATCAAGCAAATAGATCATTTAAGTCAGCATCTAGAACAACTCAAGCTTCGCCACTCGGCAGGTCGGTTGCAGGCACACCCTCGACCGTGCTTGACACTGGCGGCTCCACCTGAGTTGGCTGACTGGTCTGGAGACCGTGATCATTAATAACAACAGGGGCATTGTCTCGGTCAGGGGATTCTTCCTCCTTCCTCTCTTGGAGAAGTTTCTGTTGGATGGCGTTAGCGTAGTTCGCCATGTAACTTGGGATGAAGTGAGTGGGAGGATTTTGGAAGACCTCGGTTTCTTGCCCCTCGCCGAGCTTCAAAGCAGTTGCCTTCCATCCACACTTGAAAAAGATGTCCTTCGCCGTTTTGCATTGCAAGACATATGTGGCCTCTCATTCTTTATAGCCACGGTCCTCAGCATTTTTCATCTTCTCTTTTAGCTCGGCGATTTCAGCATCTTTCTTCCTCTCGAGCTTGGCTAGTTCGCGCAAATAGTGGTCTTTTTTTTCGGCTATTGCCTTCTACTTGTCTACTTCTGCTGCGTTGACCAGCTCGGTCAATTGTGCATTCTCAGACTCAAGCTCGGTCGTTTTTTGCTTCGCTTCGTTTAGCTCGGCCGTTTTTGCGCTGGCGTCTGCCACGGCCAGCCGTGCTGTCTTGCGAAGCTCCAGCACGCGCTTATGAGCAATATGTTTCTTTTGCATGGTCTGCAGAAGGATAGATGGTGGTTATGACTAAAACCGAGCAAACAGAGTGTAAGATGGAAAAACAAATAGGGAGCACTTACCAGCACCATCGACTTAGTGGCCGAGCAGATGGCCTTTAGCTCGGTCAAATGGTCGTGATGCTCCATGTCAGATGGCAGGCACACACTTTTTGCAAGGTTGAAAGTAAGCATATGATCCTTATCTGTCACCACCGAGTCTGTAGTGGTAATAGCCCGGTTCTTGTAAGTAATTTTTGGCACCCATTCTGAAGGGCTAGCTCGGTTAGTGTGCGTGGGTTTGGGGCTCGGCGGTGTTGTTTCAGGAAGCAGGCGATCCCCATCATCAATCAATCGCTGCTGCTCGGTCGAAGAAGTGCGAACATGCTTGTTCGACCGAGATGACGAGGCTCGGTCTATTGGGAGGGCCACCATAGCCTCGTGTGTATGACCGGCTTGTGAGGTCTCGGTTTGAACCCCGTCGACTGGAGTTGTTGTTTCGGTGATCTGGGCTCGAATAGCTCGGCGCTTGGCCATTTCTTGTTCTTCAGTTAAGGGAATGAGGTTGATTTGTGGCAAGTTGGGGTTCGGTTCTGGTGATAGTTCTAAAAGAAAGTCAATTACCCTGTACGGGTAGGTCGGCTCGAAGTTAAGCAGCTCGGCCCAACCTCGATGATAGTACCGAAGCGTGGCGCGGAGAGCGTCTTGGTTGGCGTATTTGTATTATGATTTTAGCTGGTTTAAGTCTGCATAATGAGAAACACAATTGTTAGCACGGTGTAAAATATAGCCTGAAATAGTAAAGCAAACAGAAAACCGAGGTATCCTTACCAGCAGTCCCCTTATTCCAATTGATGCCAAAGCCCGGTATTTGGGCTTCCTGGTCTTCGAAGTTGCCTGAAATCCAGAAAAAATCATCGTTATTTAAATCTTTATCAAGTGTATTTTTTATGATTTTCTCTCGGCCTCTCCGTACTCTTAAATAGTACACCTAACCATCATCGTTTTGGCTGAGCGAATATTGGTGAAAAAGCTCGGCCAATCCGAGGTTGAGGCCAAGTCGGCGGTTTAGCTCGGCGATGCCATTTATTATTCTATAAGTATTGGTGCTAAGTTGGGTTGGGCATAGTATTGTCTTCCTGAGGAACTCGCATATCAGTGGCTGGACAGGGAAACGGAGACCGACCTCTACTATTGATATTACGGTGAAAGGGACAAAGCCCGATTTTTTCCAGGGTGTGGTATCTAATTCGGCTAATGAGAGGTGGACGTCGTCAGTATTTGGTAGTCCTTCCGGAACTTGGCTATCGCCCCAAGGGAGTCAACTAGGAATCGATATTTACCCATGTTAACTTAAACAAAATTATGAATGGAGTTCACAAGTTGCCTAGCTCGGCGCGACTGAGGCTATGGTTAGCTCGGTTGAGCAAACTCGCCTAGGGGCAGGGTGCAAAGGTGTGCCTGATCAACTTAGTCAAGTCTGCAAAGGAGAAATAAGAAGTGTTATGCCCAGGCAACTTGACCGGGCTAAGTAAATAGTCAATTTACAGAAGAAATAGTAAAAGCTTAGCTCGGCCACATCTAGGTGATGGAGAGCTCTTAGTTCGGTCGTGAAAAAGGGCCAACTCAGGGCCTCTAGCTCGGTTAAAGGTTAGGCTGCAAGGTTATAACCGATTTCTTATTTCGGTCGTGTTCAAGCCTAAAAGTCGCCTAAACAAATACCTAGTCCGGTTACAGCACGAATCTGGATTAAACTTTGTGTTTTTTAATCCACTTGGTGTGCTTTTGAGCTCGAGCATAAGGTTTTGGGTTTATGACATTTGCTTAACACTCTAGTGTATATATAGTGTATATAAACACATGTATATGGAGATTAAATACCAAAAATGAAGAAATAGATAAAAAGGAACATCAGAAAGAGGCATTAGTAACTTCCGAGTGAGAAGGCGTGAAAACAGTGACCAACCAGCAAGAAGGCCAACGAGGATGGAGGCGTGGGTATGGAGCTTCAGGCAGGGGAGAGAAGATAAACAGTGGGAGTGTTTTGATTCAAAAGAGGGGTTTTCATATAAAGCACAAAAATGGGCGGGACTGTTAAAAGATTTTCGAGGTACAAAGACGGCTATGACAGTTGTACTCGACCAGTGGGAGCAAGCCACGTGTCTAGGGGAATGGATAATGATTCAGACGTGCTTGGGAGGCGGAACGGCGTGCAGAACAATTGACAAGACGTTTATGAACCGGGCAAACTGGTAGCCCGGTAGAAAGTGAGCTCGGTTGGCTTGAATGTTTTAAGCTCAGCTGGAGAAGAATAATTCCAAATCATGTGTTGTAGATGGAATTAAGGGGCAATTGAGAGGGTAATTTATAACGAAAAATTGGGCCGAGCCACGATCCTTTAATCTCTGTTTTGGGCTGGACTAAAAGGCCGGAGTATGGACATCGAGTAGCTCGGTCCCATTTTATTTGAGTACCAAACTGGGCAAAGGCATTGACCGAGCTACCTAAAACTAGGCCCAAGGGCTGGCTGAGGTGTTTGGTAAGATGGAGGGCCGAGCTAGGTGTAGCTCGGCCGATGCCTCCATTTCATTACTTAGTTGAGGGCGTGATCGAAGTAACGTAGTTCGGTTATGTTGCACCGGCCTAGACAAAGGGGAAAGCCATCTCACTGGGCTAGCAGTGGGTAGGGTGTTATCAGGATATGCGTTATCCTTGGGAAAGTAATTCTTAGAAGGACTTTGCTAAGGAGAGTTAGAGTCCTACTCGGATTGTGCTAGGGATTGGTGATGGTGCTAGACAGAATCTATAAAAGCTCATAGCAGGACCTATGTGGACAGGTATCAAAATTTTGACTCTCAAATGCACAGAGCTTTTGTTTATTGCCTATTTGCTGACTTAGGTATCGGAAAGGTATCCCGCACACACGCGCCGGCTAGCTCATGTTTATGTTTTCAAAGAGTAAAGCGACGACGTTTGGAGGAAGCGCAAACTTGATCAACAAGATTATACGAGAAGATTGTTTCGCGCTCGTACAGCAGGTTATTTATTGGAGAAGATGATTGAGGCCGGGTGTTCACCGAATGTTGTAACATGCACCTCTTTAAATAAGGGTTTTATGGATTCCCAAAAGCCTGGCAAGGCATTATGTATCCTCAGTACCATGGAATCTAAGGGATGTTCCACTGACTTGGTTCTTTGTAACGTGTTAATAGATTGCCTTTCTAAGATGGGCAGGTGCGATGATGCACTTGATGTCTTCTTTAGTTTGCCGAAACGAAAACTAGTACCAGATTCTTACACTCTTTGTTCTATAATGTCAGCCATCTTTATGTCCAGACAGTTTGATCTTCTACCCATACTAATCAGTGGACTTGCTATTCAAGCTGATCTAGTGGTCTGTAACTCCCTTCTGAGTTATTTTTGTAGAGCTGGTTAAGCGACGGCATTTGGAGGAAGCGCAAACTTGATCAACAAGATTATACGAGAAGATTGTTTCGCGCTCGTACAACAGGTTATTTATTGGAGAAGATGATTGAGGCCGGGTGTTCACCGAATGTTGTAACATGCACCTCTTTAATTAAGGGTTTTATGGATTCCCAAAAGCCTGGCAAGGCATTATGTATCCTCAGTACCATGGAATCTAAGGGATGTTCCACTGACTTGGTTCTTTGTAACGTGTTAATAGATTGCCTTTCTAAGATGGGCAGGTGCGATGATGCACTTGATGTCTTCTTTAGTTTGCCGAAACGAAAACTAGTACCAGATTCTTACACTCTTTGTTCTATAATGTCAGCCCTCTTTATGTCCAGACAGTTTGATCTTCTACCCATACTAATCAGTGGACTTGATATTCAAGCTGATCTAGTGGTCTGTAACTCCCTTCTGAGTTATTTTTGTAGAGCTGGTTATCCATCTGGTGCTGATGAGTTTTATAATGACATGATAGAGAGAGGCTTTATTCCGGATGGGTATAGTTATTCTGGATTGCTGAGTGGACTATGTGGAACAGGAAGGATTGGTGAGGCAGTTAAAGTGTACTATGCAATTGTGAGAAACAACTTTTGTCTTGACCCTCACATCCATACTACAATCATAGATGGACTTATAAGTTCTGGTAAATTTCACAGAGCTATCAGGTTGTTTAGGAAAGCCGTTGCAGAGAAATACCCACTTGATGTTGTTTCATACGCAGTTGCCATCCAAGGACTTTTCAGAGGTGGTAGAACTGGAGACGCTTGTATTTTATACAACCAAATGAAGGAGGTTGGTGTAGCTCCAAATGCATGTACTTATAATGTAATGCTCTCTGGTTTTTGTAGAGAAAGAGACATAGAAATGGTTAGACAAATCCTACAAGATATGGTTGATTCAGGTATTGAACTGGACTGTAATGCATTTTATATGATAAAGAATCTCCTCTTGAAATCATGGTATTCCCGTTCAGCCTATAATCAATTCATTGAGATGGGCAATTCAGCTTTGGTGTCTGATAAGGCTATTGGGGCAGTTGCTCAAAGGACTTGCCCTTGGTGCAAATGTAGGTGCTAATTTGGTGGATGTTCTAGAGGTTGACACATCGGGCTCTGATGACATTTGTGATGTGGCTGCTTCAGTGGGTTGAGATATAGTGGTGAAAGAGCTCGACTGTATCTAGCCAGATGGTACAGGCTGTACAGCTCCTCTTCGGTGAAGCTTATTGAGCCATCAATGATATTGGCTCGATCAGGCGCCTTCAAGGTAACACTCATTCTGTTATCTTTATGGATGATTGTACTAATCTGAAGCAGAGTAGGCTTTTGGATTTCAGTTGTTATAACGTCTCATCAATGTTTATGAAGTTTGCTTCTATTGTCATAACGTGTCATCAATGTTTATGAAGTTTGCTTCTATTGTTTATTAACTCTTTCTGGCCATCGAGCTATATAGAGTTTGAGCTAGAGCATAGTATTATAAACATTGTGTTTATTATTTAGTTGCTGGCATAGTGCGTTGCTCCTGTCTAATCAACTGTACTTGAAATATACTTCAAAGTTCATACATCTATGACTTTATTCATATCAGCGTGTTCTTGATGCCTTTTTCCCCTCGGTTCTTGGCGGGACATGTGCCATACCTGGTGCATATGGCTTTGGAAAAACAGCCATTAGTCAAGCTCTTTCCAAGGTATTTTTCCTTATATATGATCATCCTTTGGAAAGTTAGGTGATGAAACTCGTCACTAGTCATGAAACGTTGGATCATTCAGTTTGAATTGATATAATTGTATGCAGTATTCTAATCCCAACACTGTCGTTAATGTTGGTTGTGGAGAAAGAGGAAATGAAATGGCAGAGGTACATGGTTGTGTTTTCTTGTTTGGTCATTTTAACCAATTGATTATATTGGAGACGTTTAATCTAGATTACCTAATTATTTAGGTTCTTATGGATTTTCCTCAACTGACAATGACACTACCTGATGGTCGTGAGGAATCTGTTATGAAACGTACCACACTTGTGGCAAACACTTCAAACATGCCTGTGGCCGCTCGCGAGGCTTCAATATATACAGGTGATTATATGTACTCTTGTTTAATATTGTTTACATTCCAAATGCCAAGGTAAAGCATATTTTTTAGGAGTGAATCATTCTCAATTTGAATTGATAACTGATTGTTGGTATTGTTTTTATTTCATAGGTTATTTCCCTTGCATAAAGGTAATTTTTCATACTCGTGATTCCATTGTGTATAATGTCTCAAGATGGGCAGTGGGCACTATGAAATTGAAGGCCATAGAGAACTTCTCTTCAGCTTTCTGGATGTACATATAAAAATGAATTGTTTTAAGCCCCTTCGTATTGCAGCCTGCTGGAGAACAAGAAACAATGTCTAAGAAGCACTAAAATTTGTAAGATGGTGGTGTGCCTGTGTCATATACTGACACTTATTGGACACGTGTCCTAACATGTCCTATTATTTAAACAAAAAAATTTAAAACTGGAAACACTTTGGACGCTTGTGGGACACAAGTATCCAAATCCAACTAGTAGAAACACAAAAGATAAAAACAAATTATAACTTTGAAGAAAATAACTAGGGAGTCAATGATAAAATCAAAAAGTGCGAGTCTATACTTGTTAATCTCTCCTCTTTATAGCTTTTGGACTTTATGAACTCTAAAGCCTGAAATCTCCAATTTGTTAGTGAACAAAGATTTTAGAAATGGATATTTGGACTCGTGGAAAAAAGATTTCTTGCCATTTTCATATAATGAAATATAAATGCATTTATAGCGTTAAAATAAAATAAAGAGATTATTAGTATTATTTTAATGTATTAAATGATAATATATATTTATTTGTTGCCATGTTGTGTCTTGTTTTTTTAAAACTTGTAGTGTCGGCATATCCATATTGTGTTTTATCTGTGTGCCGTGTTCATATCCATGCTTCTTATATGACATGTAGCTTTGTTCCTCTAACCTTTGTCCAACCCAAATTGAACTGAGTGTGCCATGTTTCTTACTTGTAGAAATGTTCAAGGATGTAATCCGTCCTTGAACTAGTTTTGGATTCTGTAGAGGCCTTTCAATAGGTTTTTAGTGCACAACAGATAGGTCTTCTTTTGTATGCAGGCTGTGCACTCCCTTGGTGCCTCATTTTCTTTAGTAATTTTACTTAAAAAACCTTTTTGAGTTATATGAGTTTCCTTTTCTTGGACAATGAATAAAATTGTCCTGTATGCATTGAGCCATAATCATTCTATCTAGGTGGATGTGAATTTTCCAGGAATCACTATAGCTGAATACTTCAGAGATATGGGCTACAATGTTAGCATGATGGCCGATTCAACATCATGTTGGGCAGAAGCATTGCGTGAAATATCTGGTCAACTGGCGAGTGACCAAATATTAGCTTAAAAACATTGTGTGAAATATCTGGTGGATTGCCGAGTGACCTAAAATTAGCTTTTTTTACTTTTATGTGTTGCCTTTTGGTCTCGGAAAATATTCCTTGCCTTCTCTTTCTTGCCCACACCATTTATTGTAGTAGTGTTTTTATATTTCATTCTACCAAGTAATCTTTTCATTGTTACTCATTGGATTTCTAGTCTTAGTGCCCTCTTTTCCTATTCGTGTTCTATGCTGAAACTACATACTGATGTTTTAATGGAAATTAAAGACTAGTAATTTATGGTGATAATATGTTGAAGGGTGGACATGAAATGTTTGCAAAGGAGCTGGCATGCACTATGGAAACATTTTAGCCTTTTTTTTTTTTTTGGCCTTTTCTTCTGTCTCTCTCCCTTGAAAGGGTTTTGCACAAAGAGGAAGAAGTTTGCTGTATGAATTGTGTGTATCTACGAGTTGCAATTCTTTTTTTTCATACACGTGTATGACCAGTGCCAATTTTTGCTCTTGATTTACATTTAATCTCTATTATTGTTTAGCTTCATTTTATGAGTTTGACTGTTTCTTGAAATAATTTATTGTAGTTGCATGGCCTAGTTGATTGTTCTCATTCAAATGGGGGCTTTGGCATACTACCTGCTTGAAACTGGTTTTTGTTCAAAATGTTCTTTTACTTGCATTAATGTCACCTGCCTTATTTTCTTTTTCAGGCAGAGATGCCCGCACATAGTGGATATCCTGCTTATCTGGCAGCGTGTTTGGCTTCATTCTATGAACATGCTGGTAAAGTGAAATGTCTCAGTGGGCCAGAACGTACTGGTAGTGTCACCATTGTTGGTGCTGTTTCTCTTCCGGGAGGAGATTTTTCTGATCCCGTTACATCTGCAACCCTCAGCGTTGTTCAGGTGAAATGAGATTTTGCAGATTTTCTCCGGTCTCAGAAATTATGTAGCACCTAGTGGTTGAATCATGTTGTTGGTTCAATTAATCATCTGGAAAACATGGCCTGCAAGTCAAATTCATCTACTTTTCCTTAACTATTGTGTTAAAGTGGCAGTGCGCTTGTTTTGGCAGTTCTTCTGGGGTCTGGACAAGAAACTGGCCCAAAGAAAACACTTCCCTTCTGCAAATTGGCTAATTTCCTATTCAAAGTATTCATCGGTGCGCTCTCGAATTGTTCTTGAAGTGTCATAAATTCAGAATTGATGTTTGTGCATGTCCATTATTTAGCCTTTTCATCCAAGTGATTTAGCAACCCATCTATTGAATACATTTTTTCTTATGTTTCCAGGCATTAGAATCCTTCTATGATCAATTCGATTCAGATTTTATTGACATCCGGACAAAAGCTCGTGAAGTGCTGCAGAGAGAAGATGACCTCAATGAAATTGTCCAAGTACGTTATTTTATTAATTTCTGTGTTCTATTTCTTTGGGACACCTGATGAGATAACAAAACCATGCTTCTGTTTAGAGGCATGATGAATGGAGGAGAATGGTGGTTTAAGCCACAGTTTGTCTTTGATTTGCCATGCCTATTATGAAACTACATTTGCTCTGAAAGTGCGTTGATGTCTCAAAGCCACTGCTTTCTTTCTTTCTTTCTTTCATTCATTCATTCATTCATTCTTTCTTTCTTTCTTTCTTTCTTTCTTTCTTTCTTTTACCTTACAAAATGTGCTTCCCTCATCTCTTTCGGTGGGAAGTTACGCAATGCATATCTAGATTGTTCCTATTATCTACCTGTCAGAGAAGTAACACTGCTTTTGTGCTTAATGCAGCTGGTTGGAAAGGATGTTTTAGCTGAATCAGATAAAATTACCCTAGAGACTGCAAAGCTTTTGAGGGAGGATTATCTCGCTCTCCATAAGCGCCTGCATTACTAATTATACTGTCTACAAACTAATTTCCACTAACTCACTTTCATATCTGTGTGTTATGTGTGGCAACAGGTACGACAAATCCTGCTCTTTCAACAAGTCTGTTTGGATGATGCGCAACATTATCCATTTCTATAATTTGGCCAATCAGGTAAATCATTCCCTGTTTTCTTCTTGTCTGTTTTGAGATCTGTGAGATCAGTTGTGAGGATGATGAGACTACTGATTTATGGACTTCACTGGTTATTAAGAACTTCTCTATCCCTCATTCATTATTATTTTTTTCCCTAATTGCTTAATCAAGAGCTAAAGTATTTAGAAAATACAACATGGTGAGCTATTTCTTGGATGATCATAATCAATACTTGGCATTTATTTTCCCATCTTTGAGGCATTAATTGGAAATGTAGATATATAATTGGAAGTGAGTTCTGGATTCTCTTTAACCAGGGATATCATTAATGTGCAGGGGGCGGAGCGAGGAGCTGTTATGGATGGCCAGAAGATAACCTACAGCCTTATCAAGCATCGGTTAGGAGATATATTCTACCGCTTGGTGTAAGTGATACAGAACATCTATTGAACGAATCTCTCTCTCACCCACTTGCCCTATCATCTTTGTTCATTTTCTTCTTTTGTTGTTTGTTTGGTATAAACTCTGCAAATTTTTCTCTGCTAATCTGTACAATGTTGCAGGTCTCAAAAATTTGAGGATCCAGGTGAAGGGGAGGAAGCTCTCGTGGGAAAATTCAAGAAGCTTCATGAGGATCTGACTGCAGGTTTCCGCAATCATGAGGATGAAACTCGATGATCAACTTTTGAATGCAAAAGTAACCTAAGTTTCATTCACCCAGTGGGAATTTCAATACTGGGGGGAAGTGGAAGCAGTGCCCAGGTTGTTGCATTGTGGCTTTGTGCGAGAGAAACAAACAAAATTTGGTAGTTTGACGCTCATTTTATAGTGCGTTTTGGCCCTTGTTTTATATGGTTTGCTTAGTCATATTTACTTTGTTTATTACAGTTGTTCCCCTCTTAGGTTTGTCAAAAATAAACAAGACCCGTTGTTTGCTTGTGATTTTTTGTTGACACTTTGATCCAATAAATTATGTAGGAGTTTAGTAAGTTTAGTATCTGAATTTTTGTGTATGGTTTGCTCATTTGCACTTACCTGCAACAAATTTGGAGAATGAAGTTAAAATAATTTTTCATTAAAATTTTATTATTTATGTTCATGTTGTTTACATGGATCACGGTTGACCGTGCGTTCAACTAAGAATTTAGATAGTGTTTGATTCACTAATGTGAAATGAAGTGAAATACAATAACTATTTCTTATTTAAATGACTACTTTATTTGTAATGAATTTTTATATATATATTTTTTAAAATAAATCAAACATAAAAATGTGTTGAAAAAAGAAGAAAGAATTGGCTATCTAAATTGATTCCAAGCCACTAAATGAAACAAATTACTCGAATCCCTTGAATAGCTCATGGAGACTGTTCAAGAGAAAAATAAAACGGACAAATATGATTCCAGACCATTTTCTACCGTCTATTCTCACGTGAGAGCATGTGATTGTGAACACCACTCCCATTGTAACTAGGCAACAGAAAATGCTGTAGAAAATGGTGTTGTCCATAGTGGGACAAAAGATTTTTTTTTTCCGAGGGAGGGAGGGAGGGTGGGAGAACTGGAATAACAGATAAAACAAAAACATTAACCACGCTTAAGAAAGAATTATATCTAGTGCAAAGTACTTTTTAAAAAAAAGGTTTAAAATGATTCAAAAACAAGCAAACAGAGATAAAACATCAACAAAATAAAGAACAAGCCACCCATCAGAAAGATATGAAGATGCTGGTAGAAGCTAAATCAGTCTGGTCAAATTACAAGTGAAAAGGTGGCATCTTCTGTCCTTCAGACTTGTAACAATAAAGTTGAATCAGCCAGGGCCAACTTTAGGAATATCATAATGCTCACTCATGTTTGCAAGATACTGGTTGAAATCCAGAATCCGGTCACGATGTGATTTATTAGATATCTTGGCCAGCCTATGCACATCAATTTGTTCCTTTTGCTCCATGTAGCGCCTCTCTGCTGGCGTCAGATGCTCATCATAAGAAGCAGCATTTCCTTCCCCAGCAGATTTGTTGGCATCATTTACATCATCCTGGTTCAGATCTGTTGCCATTCCTGTATTTCCTCCTGCACCATGTATGACAGTAACATTAAAGGACATGTTTGGATTGGGATTAGTTATCCACGGTACCTAGTTTATCTCACATTTGGTAACACAATTTGACAATGGTACAGGGTGTCGGGATTGGACACTTCATCCCGTTACATTGAGATAACTCAATTCTACGAGAAGTCAGGATAAAGAATGATAACACAAAAAATGTAAAGGAAAAAAAAAAGTATAATGTTATCCAATTACATCCCTCTCAAACATAAAATAAAACAATATACATTAATCTTTCACAATCCTCCCTCATTCTGTGCGGTCCATTATCTCACCACGTATTCTAAGGATAATCTTATATTACCCGGAAATTAAACAACGTGTCGAAAGGGTACTAAAATAATCAAGGTCTACTTGAAATAGAACAGGCGCAAGAAAAAAGGTCTTCCACTCTACATTTCACCAAAGCACGGCACAAAGGCTAATTTGTTTCGTTACACATCTACTGCTTTCCACCCTCAACACAGTTTTGACAGCCAGGTAGAATTGGCTGGTTAAACTGTTCACATCATCATCCCATAGGAAATTTGAGATGAACGGTTTTAATAAAGTCCTCAAGTACAGATAGAAAACAAAGAATCATTTTTTTGCAATTGTAAATTCAAAGTTTGTTACTTAATTCAATAAAATTGTCCTATGAAATTTTACCTTGATTCGGGGAATTTTACATTTTTACTTGGTGCGTCTAATTTACCAAAATGGATCAGAAAGTAGACCATGAAGATTAAAAAAAGACTCATGGACTCTCTATATTTATTTGACAAAACTGTCTAAGTACAGCTTGCATCCGAAGCTGAACAATTGATTTCATTTGATACAAACAAGTACAATTAAATGAATAAATTTAAATATCCCTTTAACGGATCCTTGCAGAATGATGTAAACTCCCACAAGAAGTTAAATGTTTTTACGACCTACCAAACTTCAAACAATCAGTCAAAACCTACACAATAGGTTAGCAAACTAAGATGAGTTGCTACCACACTTGCAACCAAAATGGGATGAGAGCGAGTACAAAACCATTTTATCAAAATAGGAAATGGAAGGATGAGCAATGCAATCAGAATCCATTCCATGTATGTGATATATATGTAGGTATCCATGCAAGTATAAACAATGAACACTCAACTATGCAAGGTACGTGCTTTCCTAGAAACAACCAACGTACCTGCTGAAAGCTCATTTTCATTGACTTGAGAAATTTCATCGTAATGCTTCTTCTGTTTCTTTTTCTTCTTCACCCCTCCAGCCTTGACATCCAGGGCCTTTCCTTTCAGCTTCAGCTTCCCACCAACAACATTCTCATAAGAAGACATATTCCCTGTTGATAAGATTAATAAGTAACAAAATTTAGGGCTTGCATATTGGTATATTGGTGGTGTAAAGGATGCAAAAGAAATGAATAGCAAAGCAAAGCAATGCCGGCAAAAAATAACAACAGTTGTACGTAGTTAATAAGAATCAACCACCATAAGTCAAGTGTTCTCATCTCTCATACACATCCACATCCTATCACAATGCCCGGCTAAACCCTCACTCACTTTTCCTGCGTTCATACTGATTGTGCATTCGAACCTGTTTAATTCCCTCTCCTTCCCCCAAACTCCCCCTCCTTTGACTTGGAATGCTTCGCATCAACACCTAACCCTAAAACAGCTTCCCAATCTCCCTTGTTTGATTCATGTAAGTTAAATTTAATTGTTCTTCACACTTGGAACTATTTCATAATTCACTATTCCATACGTTTGGTCTTTCACAAACAATATCAACCTAATCATGTGCAACAACAAGAAGCTTTTCCCCTCCTCTTATCTTTATTTAAAAAAAAAACCCTTGCAATTCACATTCACATTATTAAAAAAACACAATCAAAATTTTGTTGCAACTTACAAGTAAGAGTGTGGACAGAGGTAAGGTTGGGGGAAAAAATTGGCAGAGTAGAAAATTTTCTAGCAGCCACCAAAATCAGCTATCCTCTAAACCGGCAGATCGATTGAAGTATTCTAGAATTTTCGAATGAACGGATTGGCAGGTTGGGTTGATTTGATTTGATTTAAGTCTAACGAAATTCAAACAACACCCAATGATAAAAATTTAGAACATAAAAATATCAAGAAACTTATTTTCTCAAAGCAGCATCATCATCATCATCATCGTCGTCGTGAACCCTAATTAGAAACAACAAAGATACAGAATGCCAAGAAATAAAATTAAAAAACAGGGATGAGAGAGAAAGTAACCTAAAGGGAGATATCAGTTACGGCAACCGTAGGCGGCGGAAGTCCGGAAGCGGCCGACGTTGGGGGTGGGCGGTGGTGTAGAGAGAGATCCAAAAACCGAGAGAAGAGACTGACGATGTAGACGATCTGGATTCTAGAATCATCTACTCATGTTCAGATAAAGGAAGAGTTGGCCTTTTCCCAAACTAAGCTTCTTTTTCATCTTATTTTCAAACTAGGTCTAGTTTGGACGGAATTTCTAAACTAAGCTAAAGTGTTGTTACAAATTGCGCTTTTACTGTTTGGAGTCCAAAATTTGATGCATAGTGAAAGCGCTATTGTAAAATGCACTTTTAATTAATAAATCGCTATTTTAAATCGCGCTTTTAACATAAATTTTTTTTTCTAAAGAAAACGCTATTTGAAATAGCGCTTTCACTGTGCATACGTATCAAAAATAATTTATTTAAAGTAAATATATAAAAATTATATATATAATACATACGTATTATATATAATTTATTTAAAGTAAATACATATGTATTATAAATTATTATAAAAAAATTTATAATACATACGTATTATAAATTATTTTTGGTAATTTATAAATTATTTTTAATTATAAAAATTGCATACGCTATTTGATTATAAATTATATATAATACATACGCTATTTGATTATTTTTTATTATAAATTTTTTTAAATACATACGTATTATAATTTTTATATATTTACTTTAAATAAATTATTTTTGATACGTATGCACAGTGAAAGCGCTATTTCAAATAGCGTTTTCTTTAGAAAAAAAATTTTATGTTAAAAGCGCGATTTAAAATAGCGATTTATTAATTAAAAGTGCATTTTACAATAGCGCTTTCACTATGCATCAAATTTTGGACTCCAAACAGTAAAAGCGCAATTTGTAACAACACTTTAGCTTAGTTTAGAAATTCCGTCCAAACTAGACCTAGTTTGAAAATAAGATGAAAAAGAAGCTTAGTTTGGGAAAAGGCCAACTCTTCCTTTATCTGAACATGAGTAGATGATTCTAGAATCCAGATCGTCTACATCGTCAGTCTCTTCTCTCGGTTTTTGGATCTCTCTCTACACCACAAAAAAAAAAAAAAATTATATGTACAGTGAAAGCGCTATTTCAAATAGCGTTTTCTTTAGAAAAAAAATTTTATGTTAAAAGCGCGATTTAAAACAGCAATTTATTAATTAAAAACGCATTTTATAATAGCGCTTTCACTATTCATCAAATTTTAGGCTCCAAACAGTGAAAGCACTTTACCTTAGTTTGGGAATTCCGTCCAAACTAGGCTTAGTTTGAAAAATAAGATGCAAAAGAGGCTTAGTTTGAAAAAAACCCCAGAAGAGTTGGGTAATCCTGAGCATAATTGAAATAAATTAGACCAATGATCGAGACCTCACACACATATGAAATATGAGGGCAGAATCATTCCAAAAGCATGCCAAACATTTTCTAATAAATTAATGTCATTTCAGATTATGATTTCATATTTAAATAAATGAAAAAAAAAGAAAGAAATGATTATTCCTAGGAAAATGTTAATTATTTACGAGTAGAGAATCATAATAATTGGACTTATAATAATAAGCAGTGGAATCAAGAAATTAAGTTACAGAGACGCTTACTAATTATAATTTTTTATTTTAAAAAAAATCATGATCAATTTTAAGATAATAATCGATATGTTTGGTTTCAATTTTTTGAATTCAATTTTTTAAAAATTGAGTTTTTTATTTTTTGATTTTTTTTTATGTTTAAAATTTTAAGCATTTTTTTAGATGCAAGTTACTTAAATATATCTAAAAAGTAAAATATTGGTGAAAAAATATCTCAAAAAATTAATAAATACACAAAAATACGAAAAATATACTAAATTTTGGGTTTTTTTTTGTTGGTATTTAGTGCATTTCTTAAAGATTTTTTTTACGAAAATTATACTTTTCAAGTGTATTTATGTTAGATGTGTCTAAAAATTAAAAAAAATACTTAAAATATTAAAAAAATTCAGTAAAAACAAAAAAAATACGAAAAATAAGAAAGTAGACTTTTTTGAAAAGTATTTTTAGAAAACCCAAACCAAGCAAAATTTTATGAGTTAAATTTAAGTATAAAAAATTAAAAATCATTATTAATAGGAACAAATCAAAATTCTATAACAGTGTGTAATAGTTCAGTGTGGGATGGTGATGTAAATTTGTAATTTTCGCACAAAAAATTATGGATCAAAGTTCCTAGTTTTAGAAAATAGAAACACATCATTTTTAATACAAATTATTATAAAATCTATTTAATTTTTAATTGACAGAAAATATTAAAGAGATGATATTACTTATAAATGATGTGTTTTGAATATAAATTATTGGGTTGTGATTGAGAGACCTCCTCAATCACCAACTCCCACCACCCCACTCCCACCACCCCCCTCCCACACACACACGTGGCGGGTGGTGATTGGAGGAGAAGAAAAAAAAAAGAAAAAGGAAAAAAAAAATTAGCCAATCAAGAAAGAGAAGGGGTCAAAGGGGGTGGGGGGAAAGGAGGTCTTGATCATTTTTTTAAATTATTACATAGTCTTAGAGTATCATATGACGTTGCCTATGTGATATTCAAAGCATGAGAATTCACAAATCACACTAAATAGTTTGTCAACTACCTGAAAATAATGAGTTAATTATATTCAATCTAAAAAATTTCCCACTACACTATTGGTTTAGACTACTACATAAACAATACCACATAGTGCCCTTAGGTCATGATTCACAAAATTAATAGTGAAGTATTAATAATCCTATTAAATTAGTGTGGTATTTACTATCCAATTGGATTAATATCCATTGGATTAATAATCCCACTTCTACCCCATTATTAATAATCCTACAAATTTATTGGATTAATTATCCATTGGATTAATAATCCTAAACTAAAATGTTAAAGCAAACATAGGATAAACATAGGATAATTGGGTCCACGAATAACTACTTATTATGAACAAAATAATAAACCCTTAGCTAAAAAAATGTTAAAAAATAAATAAATAAATTTTGTATAGGACCACAAAATAAATTAAAAAAATTAATATTGACACAAATTTAATTATTAACAACGAGATTTTCATTTCCCGTAAAATTCATGTAATGTGATTGGATTTGACATGTTGCCTGTCTTGTTATTGTGATAAATTATGAATTTTTTTTTTTAAAGAGTTTGACTATTTTTCTAATTAAAAAATAAAATAAAATATGATAGGTCAGAGTGAGTTACATGCAAATGATTCAATTTTCAACAGAGAAGGTTCTTCTGTCATTTTTCTCTTCAAATAATTCTGATGTTCGTAATTAATTTTTTCAATTGCCTGTCTTGTTATTGTGATAAATTATGATTTTTTTTTTTTAAAGAGTTTGACTATTTTTCTAATTAAAAAAAAAATATAAAATATGATAGGTCAGAGTGAGTTACATGCAAATGATTCAATTTTTAACAGAGAAGGTTCTTCTGTCATTTTTCTCTTCAAATAATTCTGATGTTCGTAATTAATTTTTTCAAATGTATAATTTAAAATATCTTTTTTTAATTTTAAATATATAGTTTAAAAATATATTATTTTAGTATCATTTTATTCTAATTTTAAATTATTGGATTATGTCCTTTACATCACCCAACAAATTTATTGTAGAAAAAAACCAAAAAGAATTGCATATGCAACCAACCCTTTAGAAAATATGAAATAACTGCAAATCAGTGGAAAGAATTAAAATTACAAACAAATGAAAAGACCATAAATATTATGAAAACATGTAGATTCTTGTGAAGATAGAAAGAGAAGGGCAGGGAAGAGAAGGGAGATAGGAAGAGAACGAAGATAAAAAGAGAAGGGCAGACTATATGCTTTTATGTTTTCTATTTCTTGGGTATTTTTATCAAAATTTTAAACCATACGAATGCATCAAGGGAAAAAAAAAATCATAATGTGCAACTAAATAAAAACTAATCACATTAATTTTTTGGGTGCCAAATTGGCATCACAAGAGTACAACAATTTCAGCCCAAAGTTGCTGCGTTATAATACTTCATGTTGAAACTTACAAACAGCACATCTAACCTACCAAGATAAATTAACTAGTAAAAGTAGAGCACTAAAAATCACAATCCTATATCACCCTCTAAGGGTCGCGCATAAGCAAGGCAGATCAAAGTCGATGGTGGATTCAACCAAACTGAAGTCTCAGAAGATTCCAGGTATAATCCTGTAAGGGACCTTCTCGCAATATAATTTCCAATATTTCCCATACCTGCAACCACCACACCGCCAAATTTTTTCATTCAAAATGCAAAAAGGGATCAAGGAGAAATATGCCGAATGAGCACAACAAGAAGCACATCCTGTTAGGACACTCTGGACAAAATTACACATACTTGTGCTAATTCCAAATGAGACTCCTCGTGCAATCATATCAAATGGCTAGAAGAACTAGCATGACTACGTCTAATTTTGTTTAGCTATTAGATATGATTGCACAGATTGCATAAAAATAAATAAAGATAAAAAAGAGTCCTCCTAATGATATCCAACTCACTGGCTTGACAGACTAAGGGATATCCATAATTTTCTTTTCACATCTTATTGCAAAATTTCCAACGACAAAATTTCAGCTGAAAAGATGTGCGCGCGCGCGAGAGAGAGAGAGAGAGAGAGAGAGAGAGAGAGAGAGAGATTGTGTTTGCTTACTTAGATAGACATCGGTCATCATCCCTTTTCGCTCGGTCAAACAGAAGGATGGTAAGAAATACTACATAAAAGTAAGGAAGAAACTGCAAAAAACACTCGGTCAAACAGAAGGATGGTAAGAAATACTACATAAAAGTAAGGAAGAAACTGCAAAAAACAATTAAGAAATTAAAATATTGGGCCATATGTTACACAGAATTGCAGGCAGAGCAGCTATTTTATAGTAATGCAAACTCTCACATGGTTGAAAAGAGTCGGTACAGTCCAGAAGAAAGCTGCTAATATTTCTGGTACATAATGGAAATGACGAGATAATCCCCACCTGCAGACCCGTAACATTAGAAAGGCCAACTCAAATATTAATTGAATATCACTAAACTTAGACCAATTGAAGGGAGAACTCAACCCTTCTTGAATGTGCGCAAATTACAAAGTACATGGCTTAGGTTAAAAGCAACTAATTTAGTAACAATCTGAGGTACAGTTTCTATACTGCAATATAAACATGAAAGCTCACCATCCTGAGGTCAGGAGAAGACTGGTTTTTGTCTCACCCTTAGTCGTGTATGAGGCCACAATCTGTATAAACAGTAAACCGGATTAATTCTTAACCTACAACGGAAAATTTAGCAGCTACAAAAAAGCCAGTTAGACAAGTTTGGAGGTCGACCAATAGAAGGAAGAAATAAGATTGGATATTAAAGGCAAACTAAAGCCTTTTGTAACCATGAAAGCAAATACCTTTGATGGAGCTTTTCCCCAAACCAAGCACTTGCCATTTGTTCTACGAAATTCTTGCCTTTGCCTGTCACAGTCATAATTGATGTATATGCATAGAATGCCTGCTACAAGAATGTAAATAGCAAGCTGGACAAGTAGAATGATTTCATTAGTTTGTTAGGAGCAAGAAATCAAGACGAGAAGAAATTTGTAGCCAAGGACCAAAAAAGAGATTGTGCTCATCCAATTGGTTTCATGTTTGGGGTATGCATGAGTTTTTGAATTAAGACGATATTTTTTGCTGTTGGGGGGAGAAGGAGGAGAGAGTGAAAACTTGTTTTGAAAATAAGTGAAACGTTTTTTTCGTTTCCAAAAATTTTGAACCTTTTGGAATCAATTCCATTTTTTGAAAACAAGAACAATATAGCCATTTATTGGCAAAAAACGTATGTGACTTACCTGAGTTCCAAGATTCACAGGATGATTTACTAGGTACATGCCAGGAGAAGTATAGACAGATGGGACCCATACCAAGCATCCCCAGCATATATAAAAGCCAGCTGCCGAAACAAAACATAGGATAACCATAATGACATTGAGCATCAATGATACTAACAAAGGGAAAAAGAAACACTGAAAACAAGATCTACACGTAAAAAGGTGGGGTTACTTCAATCTTTCAACTGTAAATAATTGGTTAGGATACAATGAGAAAAAAGACCCTGAGTAATTGAGTTGCAAGGATGCAAGGAAGGATATGTGCCAAAACAATGCCGTAAGCATGCGCGCAACTGTGCAAATTCATATATTTTATAATAACTCTTCTAAAGACAAAATTTCTCAAATTTGAATAACAGATTATTAGGCAATTTAAAGCTTAGGTTTCGCCAAATAAATTGAAAATAAAATGAGGCCAGCTATAGGTTTTGTTCTCATCTTAATTAAAGAGGGAAAAGGGCAAGGCAAGTTGTTCTGGTACGTTATGAGTAGTTGAAACTCAAATAGTTATTTCATTGTTTTTCAAGAACAAAATACAACAGAATGCCAACCAAAAAAGGAAATGTAAAAAAAATATTGTACTGCAAATGTTAATTAGTCATTCCTCATTGTCCCTAAAATACCTACTAATGCTCATGAAACATGAAGAATGATGATGCATCTACAAACCTCGATCGTGTGCAATATCCATTGTGTTCCAATATCCATCTTCCCACCAAAAGAACTTTGTAATATACACTAGCATCAATATAGTATTTACAAGCATGGAATCTGCCACTCTCCCATTTGCTTCATACTGTCAAAGCAGAGCAACTATACATTAAAACAACAGTAACCAAATAATTTTCTTAAAATTCAAATACTAACGCTAATTTTTTCTGAATTAATATTGTTAAGAGAGCATCAAAAGGGGATGCTAGCCATACACCGGAAAAAAATAAAAAATAAAATAAAGGTTAAGCCTGCACAATCCTCACTACCAATACATAAGAAAAGAGAGAGAGGCCTATATATTTCCCACAAGTTAATAAGCAAAATTTACAAATTGATCCTCCCTGAAGTCCAACTATACATTATAACCAAAAAGTCCTTAAGAGTTAAGTCTATATAAAGGCTCCTCTACTCCCTGAAATGTTCTCCTATTTCCTTCACTCCGTATATGATCCACATCAAACACAGTGGAGTCAATATCCATGCATTTTGCCTAAAATTCCCCACCCTTCTAACCACCAATTATGTAGAACCCCAGCCACATCTCTTACAAACACAAAATCCATCCCAGACAAAGTTCAACTCAACCGCTACAAATCCCTCACCATACTACAATGTATGAATATGTGAGAAACGGATTTGCCATCACACTTGCATAGGGAACACCAATTTACAATGACTTTCTGCTTAATAAGCAAATTATCAAAGAAAGTTACCTTGGAGAAGGCACACCAGTCAAAATTGCTTTCTGAGGGAAAGTCATCCTCCTATCTCTCATCAAAGCCTTATAGAAAGAATCCATCTCAAACCTCCCTTTCTTAGATATACTGACCAACACAGAATCTTGGCTCTCTCCAATACCCTTCAGCCCGTAAAACAAGTTGAGTAGATTGGTCAATCAATTCGTCACTAAATCTTACACAAGGTGCAAAACAGAAGGCCAGGCCCTCTCCACACCACCTATGCTGCCAAAACTTCACCGTCTCCCCTTCTCACCTTGAAAATTGAAATAAGTGGATCCCATAATGTAGAAATTTAATGTATAAAGAGAAATGATTGTATTATTGATTGTATATGTTGTTGTATAGATATTTATTACAATGATTCATGATTCCTATATATAGAAGAGGGTGAGTGTGTAGTAGGTAAGGAGTAGGTGAAGTGGAGGTGGTAGTGGTGTAGTGGGTTAGGTTTAGTGGAGTAGGTTTAAGTGGGTGAAGTAGGTGGAGAGTAGGTGGATTTCCCCGCAAACTCAAAGGGGATAGGAACTAACCAACTTGAGTTTGGAGAGAGTAACAAAACAAGAAAATATGGATGATTTATCACGTCTTGGACAGTAGCTTTTATTCTTATCTGTGTACGATGTAAATATATCAAATTTGGTCACCATCAACGCATGGATGTTCAGGAAAATTTGGGAGGTTTCGCATGCTAGACCGATGATTATTAGTAACTTTTTATAGTGCTTTCATGTTGGGAGGGGTTTTTCAGCATCATATACTATTTGCATGTTGAATAATTAGACATGTGTGTCCCCCACTTGCCCGAGTGTAAAAAAATTAAGACACTAATAGGGTTATAGGGCACGTTTAGATGAGTGTTCTACACATGTTGGGAAGTGTCTGAAGAGTGTGGTGTTTGACACGGACATACCACCTTCTTAGAAGTGTCCGTGTTTCTTAGGCTCCCATGCTTAACCTGTATTTGTGACAGTTACTAGTTACTTTTTTTTTTTTTTTCTTTTTTTGGGTCAGATTTCTTCTCGATCGTCATATGTTATGATCTTTAAAGTTCTTATGGTAGTTATATTAATTTTGTTGTCATTTTAAATTTACATTATTTTTTGTTTGATGCAGCTTATTGCTGAGGAAGCAGAGGATCCCTCACATCAACCGCAAACAGAAAAAAATGTAGATGGCACAGTGACCTGTAAATACCATGTTCCTGGTAAAGTTCAAGTGGTAAATGTTGAATTTTTTTGTAGATATAATTGTGCCATATTATTATGTGTCAGTGTATTTTTTGTGTTATTTATATATTTTGTTTTGAAATAACATAATATATGTTAATTTTATTTTATCTTAAATCATACTCATGTATATTATAGGTTGATCGGGTCTTGGGGTGCCAAGTGCAAGGTGATAACAAGAACTCATGCGAGATCTCTCTGATGCTTGCAAATGACTTGCCTTCTGAGGATTTATCACTTCTGGACAAGAAAAATAGAGTAGCAAAGGAAAAACCTGACAGTGACAAGATTTTGGATGGGGGAACTGCCGAAGATTTCACTGAGGGCCTTCAGAATATCATCAGCCGTTCTGATGAGGTGACAAGCTTAAACAACAATACAAGAGTAGAAAAGTTACAAGTATATAGAAGATCAGTGACCAAAGAATTTAGAGAAGGGAAGGCTGTGGATTCAGCAAGGAGAGATACCAATGATTCCAGTTCTACAGCCACAAATGGTAAAAATCAAGCAATTGAGAGAGAGAGAGAGAGAGAGAGAGAGAGAGAGATTGTGTTTGCTTACTTAGATAGACATCGGTCATCATCCCTTTTCGCTCGGTCAAACAGAAGGATGGTAAGAAATACTACATAAAAGTAAGGAAGAAACTGCAAAAAACAATTAAGAAATTAAAATATTGGGCCATATGTTACACAGAATTGCAGGCAGAGCAGCTATTTTATAGTAATGCAAACTCTCACATGGTTGAAAAGAGTCGGTACAGTCCAGAAGAAAGCTGCTAATATTTCTGGTACATAATGGAAATGACGAGATAATCCCCACCTGCAGACCCGTAACATTAGAAAGGCCAACTCAAATATTAATTGAATATCACTAAACTTAGACCAATTGAAGGGAGAACTCAACCCTTCTTGAATGTGCGCAAATTACAAAGTACATGGCTTAGGTTAAAAGCAACTAATTTAGTAACAATCTGAGGTACAGTTTCTATACTGCAATATAAACATGAAAGCTCACCATCCTGAGGTCAGGAGAAGACTGGTTTTTGTCTCACCCTTAGTCGTGTATGAGGCCACAATCTGTATAAACAGTAAACCGGATTAATTCTTAACCTACAATGGAAAATTTAGCAGCTACAAAAAAGCCAGTTAGACAAGTTTGGAGGTCAACCAATAAAAGGAAGAAATAAGATTGGATATTAAAGGCAAACTAAAGCCTTTTGTAACCATGCAAACAAATACCTTTGATGAAGCTTTTCCCCCAAACCAAGCACTTGCCATTTGTTCTACGAAATTCTTGCCTTTGCCTGCTACAGTCATAATTGATGCATATGCATAGAATGCCAGTCGAAATTGCTGTCTGAGGGAAAGTCATCCTCCTATCTCTCATCAAAGCCTTATAGAAAGAATCCATCTCAAACCTCCCTTTCTTAGATATACTGACCAACACAGAATCTTGGCTCTCTCCAATACCCTTCAGCCCGTAAAACAAGTTGAGTAGATTGGTCAATCAATTCGTCACTAAATCTTACACAAGGTGCAAAACAGAAGGCCAGGCCCTCTCCACACCACCTATGCTGCCAAAACTTCACCGTCTCCCCTTCTCACCTTGAAAATTGAAATAAGTGGATCCCATAAAATCATTCCAAACTTGATGAATACCTTTCCAAAGCCGCCACCCATATGATATAGTCACCTCCAAAGAGGTCCAGTCACCGCATGAACTGCCATATTTGGCCATCACCACTCTCCTCCAATATTTATCCCTCATGTTTTCTAAAGCCACTTGCCCAAAAGAGATTCATTAAAAACTCCCAACCTCCTAATTCCCAATCCACCCTCTCTCAAAGAAGTAAAAACAATATTCAAATCCGCAAGATGATATTTAAACTCTTCCCTATACCTTGGCTCAAAAAATCTAGCTACAACTTTACAACTCTCCTAGCCAACGAAGTGGGATTGTGCACAAGGACATGAACTAGGTGGATAAGGTCCACAATGTATTTTTAATTACAATAAGTCAACCTCCATTTGACGGGTACTGCTTATTCCATCCTGCCAACATCCTTTGGAACCTCTCCACAACCCCATCCTGAACATGTGTCTCGAAGAACACCCACTCTAAGCCCAAGAATGGAGACCGACCCACCAATATCTGGAACTTCTCCAACAAGAATCAACTCTGATTTAGCCAAATTAACATTCAAACCCAATACAACCTCAAAACATAAAAGGACACATCGTCGATAACCAAATCACATTGTCGTCCATGTATATCAGGTGGGAAACTACCATTGGGGACCCATCTATCATCCCTACTGAAAGCCTTTCGTGAACCCACCTTGATTTGTCATTTCAATCATATGACTTGATGCCTCCATGACTGAAATGAAAAGCAGAGGAGCAGGGGTGATAATGGGTCACCTTGCCTCAGTCGCCCTGAGGTTTTGAAGGAAACTTGCTGACTAGCGATTCACCAAAACTGAGACATAGTGGGAAAATACAAAACTAGATCCATTGCTCCATCTATCACTAAATCCCACCTACCCCACAAATAATAAATAAAAAAAATCCTAGTTCAACTGATCATAAACCTTTTCTATGTCCAATTTGCATATTACCACTGACTGCTGGCTGAAACCTATTGGGATATCCTAGTCATTAATGAGAGAGGGCACGAATGATTTTTGAGATTTCTTGGTTGCCCAATCAAGCAAAGGGACTACCATCTAGCATCCCTTTGGCATGAAATGACATGGGATGTAGACCAACCAGTAAATGATGTCAAGGGATATGTTGGAGTATCTACCTGCTTTATGCAATAGGTGATGGCAAGAACTGCCCAGGACATCATCCCAAATCTGCAGTTTGTGAAAACCTTTATATCGAAGTTCTTGCCAATCCGAGGATAAAGTTCCATACCCTGCAAGTATGACAACCATAACAAAACATCAGAATCAAGAGCATGTCAATACCAAGTAAAATTTTCCCCTCAGATAATACATTGTCCAATCACATACTATCATCATGGCAATATGCATCTGGACTACTTTACCAATAACCTAGTCCCCACATTTCAAGAGATAAGGGGTAGGCAGTTGGCACAAATGCTAATGCTTTAACAGGGATTCAGCAGAAAAAAAGTAACTTATGTAGAAAAAAGTAAGAGATGCATTTTCTGCAGCAGCCTATAATTCAAACGAGTCACGAACATGCATATACCCATCGTTACATGTATGGGGTGGCACTCGTGTGAAAAGCACAAAATGGGCCCAATGAGGTTCTGCTGATAGTCAGAGTGTTTTCTTGAAGAAAAAAAAACTAGTCTGAATGTGGCAGAATATGTGGCGTCACTTTGCTAACAACAAAAGGAGATGAAATATGATGACGAGTATAAAATATAATGCTATGGACTGGTATTGACCCAAAATATTTTGTATAAAATATATTACTAGTTCGAGTGCAAGAAATTAATAAAAAAAAAAATATTTAACCTACAGATATCACATTGGAAAAGTGCCCTTTGCTTAGGGAATGGTTTGGAAACACCAATTTAAAATTCTTGAGGCTGTTCGGAGTTTTTGGACTATACATATATAAAAACTAAACAGAAGTTTCTAAAATTTTTCAAATGACTTACAAACACAAGAAACCTTAAAACAACGCCCAAATAGTACACATTAATATGTGTTTGGGAGGGAAAAGATTGGGTACACGCCTAACTTTTGCCATGTTGTGGAAACGTTTTCAGCATGTATCTAAGCTTTGGTCTGGGTATCATTCTTAGAGGCTTCAATTTATGGTAGTAAGATTATGCATTTGCAAAACTTTCAAATTACAATTTTGCATTTTGACTGGGAATTTGCAAACTGTGTATGGTTCTCCTTCCCATTTTTCACCTCTAATATCATTGATCATCAAGGTAAAAAAAAAAAAAATACACATGAATAAGGGAAATAAATGAATCAACAATTAGATGACATTGAATAAACATCATAGAAGCTTAAAGATGCTCACCCAATAGAAATCAATTATGATGTTTCCACACGAACCAGAATCAGAGGAAGATGGTGCAACATGACCCTAGTATGCACAAAACACGCGCATCAGAATATAGAGAGATGTTGCATGTATAAGAAAACATTTGATGGTTAACCCAATAAAAAATACACTTAGAAAATATGAGGAAGAAGAACTCCGAAAATATGAGGAAGAAGTTGCATGTATAAGAAAACATTTGATGGTTAACCCAATAAAAAATACTTACTTTTATGTACAAGAAAATACAGAAGATGAAGCTTCCAAAAATGAGTGCTGAAAATATTTCTCCCAAGTGGTCATAGACAACTGAAGGGTTAAAAACCCCAAACCTGAAGAATGAACACAAAGAAGGGATATCAATACAGTGGATGATAAAAGCCACTTGGTCCATTGACATTAAAATCCAGATAACACTTGTTGTTTTCTCAAGAATGTAGGGTCCAGAAAATGTGAAATTGGAACGAAAACCAAAACAGAAGGTTATTCAACCCTAACAACACTGCTATAAAAGTATCTGCAAAGTTCAACATCTGGATATACATACTTTGCCCCCCAGGAAATTAGTTTCGAAGGGTAATCACTGGGAAGATAGAGTAAATACATCAGTATAGAAGAAATTATGATGCATATTGAACAATATTCAAATACTGAAACAACCATACAGCATCATTGTTTCTTGAAGGTAAGAGCGGAAAACAAAGAAGCCAATTTCTCAAGTAACAGAACTGGTAAGACCAAAATTATGACATAATTTCAGTGATTAGTCCCCTCATCCGATCAGGAAGAGCTCCTTGGATAAAGACACAAGAAGTGAAGGCTAAATCACCATAGTTCTACTGACATTTTCAGAGAAAGAAAGAAACATGAAATATCTAAAGAGGCATATTCTTTTGAACATTTGCTTCCTTTTTTAGATTACCATACTTCTGACATTTCCAATGAAAGATACAAGAATGAAAAATCTAATTTTCCTTTTTCAATCCTTTCTATCTTCAATTTGTTCACTAGAGTTTGCAGTACAGCACTATTTCTATAATTCTGTCAAACACAACTGCAAACAGCAGCACATAGAAAAAAGGTTATCAAAAACTATGAACCTCTAATAGCAAAGAGACTTGACACTCCACATTACATTCGCACATGATGTGCATGAATGCCTTGCTTAGAATGAGAAAGCTCTTACCACCAAAGGCTGAGATAAGTAATCAATGTCACTGCATATGCCGCCACACCATTTGCCTGCAATAAGCAGAAGATCAAGGCTATGATTTTGGCAATACGACAACACTTAAAAGAAAACTATTGAACAAACAGCCAACAACACTAGTTCATTTTTTGTGATACTATAAAAAAATCCAAATAATTTAAGCACCATTAAATAACTCAAATCTACATTTATATGCAGGCAAGATGCAGAAAATGACAAGGAAATATCAATGAGATAATACCAGATATCTGGTACCTTATAAACAGGCCTGTTTCCAGCAGGAGATATTGGCCCTTCAACCCTTTTTCCAGGTAGAAACAGTTGGAGTACAGCCTCAAATGCCGCATAACATGCAATCATTTTCCATGCAATAGCAGTGGGTTTTGGCCAAATATTAATAAATCCCGGCAGCCCATGCCGCCTTAGGTAACCCAGAGCCTGAGATATAGATCCATCTGCGTGCACCATTGTATACCATCTGTATGAAGTAATAAATTCTGATTTTAATTTTATCTTCATAAAAAGTGCAATGAGTTAAAAAATCAATAGAGGAGCTAAAATTTGATTATTTCTTTGTGCTTATAGGTGTGTGTGTGTGTGTTTTTTTTTTTTTGGTCACCTGCTTGAAGAAAAAGAGATTCTCATCCCTAAAAAATAATAAATTAAACTAGCAAACTAGAAGGGCATTCAAAGATTTCAACAAACTGATCTTATTTCGACTTTGACTTGGTTATTGTGATCATGGCTACACGTTGGAGACGAATGTAATCAGGGGCGGAGGCACAACAGGTCGAGGGGGGTCATATCCCCCACTTATAACTGATACCAGTTCTGATTTTTCTTTTTTTTTTGGTCATGTATAAAATGTATTCTCTTTTTTTCTTAACATGTTCTTTGACTAAGCGCTTATTGTATTGTTTACAACAAATAGTTATTTGATACTTTGGGAACGCTATGTGATATTGTTTATGTAATAATTTAAATCAATAGTGTAGTGAAAAATATTATACATTGGATATAATGAATTTATTATTTTCAAATAGTTGACATACCACTTTGTGTGATTTGTGATTTTCTATAACGTCATATGATACTCTAAGACTGTTTAATAAATTTCACTCAAAACACATCATTTATAAGTAATGTAATCTCTTTAATATTTTTTTGTCAAATAAAAATTAAATATATTCTATAATAATTTGTGCAATAAATGATGCGTTTTTATTTTTTAAAATGAAAAATTTTGATCCATAATTTTTTTGCTAAAATTGTAAACTTACATCATCATCCCGCACCAAGTTATTCTACACTATTATAGAATTTTGATTTGTTCTTATTAATAATGAATATGTAATTTTTTATATTTAAATTTATCTCACAAAATTACAGCTTGTTTGGTTCTGTTTTTCAGAAAACAGTTTTCAAAAAATTCTACGTTTTTATTTTTTGAATTGTAAACTTACATCATCATCCCACACCAAGTTATTCCACACTATTATAGAATTTTGATTTGTTCTTATTAATAATGAATATGTAATTTTTTATATTTAAATTTATCTCACAAAATTACAGCTTGTTTGGTTCTGTTTTTCAGAAAACAGTTTTCAAAAAATTCTACGTTTTTATTTTTTGTATTTTAATGTTTTCAATGAATTTTTTTAATATTTTAAGCAATTTTTTAAAATTTTTAGATACACCTAACTTCAATACATTTAAAAAATATAATATTTGTGAAAAAATATTTAAAAAATACAGTAAATACCAAAAATACAAAAAAAAATGAAAATTCAATATATTTTTTGTATTTTTGTGTATTTATTAATTTTTTAAAATATTTTTTCACAAATATTTTACTTTTTAGATACATCTAAGTAAGGTGCATCTAAAAAAATAAAAATAAAAATGCTTAAAATTTAAAAAATATTCACTAAAAATAAAAAAAATAAAAAATAAAAAACTCAATTTTGAAAAAACTTAATTCAGAAAACTAAAACCAAACACACTTATCTTAATGTTAATGTTGCTCATGATTTTTTTTTTCTAAATAGAAAATTATAATTAATGCCGTTTGGTAACGGTTACGTTTTCAGTTTTCTGTTTGTATTTATAAAAATTTTAAAAACTCAAATAAAAACTTGTTTGGTAAATTTTTGATTTATAAATCAGTGGTCTCTGTTTATAAATTTGGCCAAAAAATATAAACTCAAAAAATGTGTTTCCGTTTTTAGTTCTGAGTTTTTTTTTTGTTTTACCACCCAACACTAACTACCACCCGCCACCATTTTCCACTACCGTCTTCCGCCACCACCACCCACCACTTACCACCCACCACCCACTCCCACCACCACCACTTGTCACCACCACTCACCACCTACTTGCCACCATCACCCACCACCCGCCACCAGCCACCACCCACCTGCCACCCATTCGCCACCACCACCCACCACTTGTCATTACCATCCACCGCCCGCCACCACCACCTATTTGCCACCACCACTCACCACGCACCTACCACCACCACCACCACCAGCCACCCACCACCAGCAGTCACCTGCCACCACCACACTCGCTACCACCACTCACCACTTGCCACCACCACCACCTTCCACCTGCCATCAACCCGCCACTACCATCCACCGCCCGTTACCACCACCCGCCACTACCATCCACCACCCGCCACCACCACCACCACCACCACCCACCACTACTACCCCCTCACTACGACCCACCACCCGGCACCCGCCACCGTCACCCACTCATCCACCACCACTACCCACCCGCCACCATCCACCACCACTAGCTACCCACCACCCACCGTCACCACTTTCCACCACCGTCTTCCGCTGCCACTTGCCACCTGCCATTTCTCACTCTTTTTTATATTTTTAAAGTTTTTTTAAACATTTTGTCAATTACCAAACGCGTTTGTAGTTTATGTTTTCTAAAAATAAGCAAAAAATAAATAAAAATCAATTTATAAAATTTTTGTAAAAATAAACTGAAAACGTAAACGTTACCAAACAGTGTCCCTCTAACTTAATTTCCTGGCTCCGCCGCTAAATGTAATCATTAATTATTAAGAATTCAAATCAGCATGTTTGAGACAAACAATCACCCAATTTGCATCACAGATTTATACTACAGAAATTTCAATCATCTAAGTATATGAATACATTGTATATTTTTTTACTTTTTTTTTTTCTTTTTTTTGGGGACCATATTAGCATAAAGTCAAAATAGAAGACGAAATTCAATAAGTGAAATTTTTTACTTTTCTTTCCATTCAGCATTCTCAAGAACCAGACAGAGTGCAAAGCAAGGCTGTTCAAAGTATAGGGATCGTGAAATTTAATGATAGTAGTAGAAATCTGAAGATCTTAGAATTGTCGAGGTTGAAAATTGAATAAAATTGTAGACGAAATCAAGTGCAATCAAAGAATGGATTGATGTTATGAGAGAATTACAAGGACTTACAAGAGAATAACAAAAGGAGGGCACAGAGTGAGAAGGCAGATCATTGATATGTATGTAACGATGGGGGAGTGCACCATCTTCGTCTCTGCCATTACTCTTCTCTCTCTCCCTCTCTCTCTCTCTGTTTGCGTGTGTAAAAGTGCGTCTCTGTCTGACTTGACCAGGCAGTTGGGCTTGATTCAGCTCGTTTCAGTCCTAGTCCACCGCCTTAGTCCAGCCCAAACTGATGAATTCAATTCGGACTAGGCCCAAAATTCAGTTGGGTGAGATCTCATCACTTTGTTTCGCGCGCTCTCTCGCTTTCTCTCTCTACTCTAGGGTTTTGCAGTACACACAAACTACAAACTAGAACCTCCCGGAGAGGATCAGCAGCAGTGGATGTTACTCAACGGTTCTGAGCTCGGAGTTTCAGAGTCACTACAAACCCTAATCTGGTTTTGCTTCTCCTTCTCTTTCTCTTTATCTTTGTCTGCTTGTATGTTGCGTTTGGTGGCCTGCGGAGAAGTGTGTACTGGAAATGATATGGAGCTGGAGCTGGAAATCCTTACACTCAGCTTCGCAGCGAATCATCAAAACAAAATCTTTTGCTTCAATTCACTCTCTCGTATCACCAATTGAATGTTCTATTCACAAAATTGAAAATTTCTCTACAGCAACACACTATCGACAAGTACTTCCAAAGACTTCTTCTAGAACCTTACTCACCCCTCAAACAGTGCATTGCACTCTACACAACTGCCCTTCTGATTTGATTTCTCTGAGCGTCTTCTTGTGGTGTGCTCGGCAACCACACTACTTCCATGATCGAGGTGCGTTTGATCACATGGCTAATGTGGTCTCTCGCCTCGCCCGACAGTTGGGAACGGTGAAAGGACTTATTAAGCAATTAGAGGGTGTTGGATGTGTCACAAAGCCACAAACTTTGTTGTTGTTGTTGAGAATTTTTTGGCACGGAGGTATGTTTAATTTGGTTTTCGAGGCATTTGAGGAAATGTTCAATTATGGTTACACCCCTAATACGTTTGCTCGGAATATTGTTATGGATGCGTTGTTCAAGATTGGGCTCGTTGATGTAGCCCTTCGAGTGTTTAAGGAGACACAGGACCCAAATTTCTTGACATTTAGCATTGCCATTTCTAATTTATGCAAGCTCAGTGATTTGATGAATATCCAGGATGTGCTCAAGGAAATGTTGAGAAAGGGGTATTGCCTTAATTCCGGAACCTTTTCAATGGTTCTTAATTGTTTTTGCAAAATGGGTAGGCTGGCGGAGGCATTACAACTATTGGGTCTGATGATTACTTTTGGAATTCCCACCTCCGTGAGTGTTTGGAGCATTCTGATTGATGGGTACTGCAAGTCTGACAATCTTGTTATGGCAAGTTATTTATTGGAGAAGATGATTGAGGCCGGGTGTTCACCGAATGTTGTAACATGCACCTCTTTAATTAAGGGTTTTATGGATTCCCAAATGCCTGGCAAGGCATTATGTATCCTCAGTACCATGGAATCTAAGGGATGTTCCACTGACTTGGTCCTTTGTAACGTGTTAATAGATTGCCTTTCTAAGATGGGCAGGTGCGATGATGCACTTGATGTCTTCTTTAGTTTGCCGAAACGAAAACTAGTACCAGATTCTTACACTCTTTGTTCTATAATGTCAGCCATCTTTATGTCCAGACAGTTTGATCTTCTACCCATACTAATCAGTGGACTTGCTATTCAAGCTGATCTAGTGGTCTGTAACTCCCTTCTGAGTTATTTTTGTAGAGCTGGTTATCCATCTGGTGCTATTGAGTTTTATAATGACATGATAGATAGAGGCTTTATTCCGGATGGGTATAGTTATTCTGGATTACTGAGTGGACTATGTGGAACAGGAAGGATTGGTGAGGCAGTTAGAGTGTACTATGCAATTGTGAGAAACAACTTTTGTCTTGATCCTCACATCCATACTATAATCATAGATGGACTTATAAGTTCGGGTAAATTTCACAGAGCTATCAGGTTGTTTCGGAAAGCTGTTGCAGAGAAATACCCACTTGATGTTGTTTCATACACAGTTGCCATCCAAGGACTTTTCAGAGGTGGTAGAACTGGAGAAGCTTGTATTTTATACAGCCAAATGAAGGAGGTTGGTGTAGCTCCAAATGCATATACTTATAATGTAATGCTCTCTGGTTTTTGTAGAGAAAGAGACATAGAAATGGTTAGACAAATCCTACAAGATATGGTTGATTCGGGTATTGAACTGGACTGTAATGCATTTTATATGATAAAGAATCTCCTCTTGAAATCATGGCATTCTCGTTCAACATTCAATCAATTCATTGAGATGGGCAATTCAACTTTGGTGTCTGATAAGGCTATTGGGGCAGTCTTGCTCAAAGGACTTGCCCTTGGTGCAAATGTAGGTGTTAATTTGGTGGATGTTTTAGAGGTTGATGCATCGGGCTCTGATGACATTTGTGATGTGGCTGCTTCAGTGGGTTGAGATATAGTGGTGAAAGAGCTCGACTGTATCTAGCCAGATAGTACAGGTTGTACAGCTCCTCTTCGGTGAAGCTTATTATGCCATCAATGATATTGGCTCGATCAGGCTCGTTCAAGGTAACACTCATTCTGTTATCTTTATGGATGATTGTACTAATCTGAAGCAGAGTAGGCTTTTGGATTTCAGTTGTTATAACGTCTCATCAATGTTTATGAAGTTTGCTTCTATTGTCATATCGTGTCTTCAATGTTTATGAAGTTTGCTTCTATTGTTTATTAACTCTTTCTGGCCATCGACTTGTACAGAGTTTGAGCTAGAGCATAGTATTATAAACATTGTGTTTATTGTTTAGTTGCTGGCATAGTGCCTTGCTCCTGTCTAATCAACTGTACTTGAAATATACTTAGAAGTTCATACATCTATGACTTTATGTGCTTACTGTTATCATGTTTGGTTGGTCATAAATGGTGGTATTGTGAAAGGAAAAAAAAAATTGGGGTGAATTTTTTTGGTGGTATTGTGAAAGGATTTGCTATGCTTTGTGGCATATTTGTCAAATGGTATCTTATGCTACAAATTAATGGATATTAGAAGGATATGCTGTAATTTGCTGCATGTGATTGGATCATTTTAGTTGCATTTCTATCTAATTTTTGGTTCAATCCTTGTAGATGGATGCTACTTCTTGCGGGACAAGTTTGCCTGCTGTCTCTTTGAGGATGCTCTCCCCCTGCATGTAGTGGATCTGGATGATGAAAACTTTGAAAAGGGTACTCATTCTTGACCTTGTGAATCTAAATTTTAAATTGCAAGCGTAGGACTTGTGAACATTTATTCTCTTATTTTTGTAGTAGTTTTAGTAGGGAGATTAATACATTCGTGAATACATAGAAGTTGCCCCTTAGGAGTCCAAGCAACAGTACTAGGATGAAGAAATGAGCGAACTGTTTTTTTTTTTTTTTTTGATATATCATTATAAATAAAAAAATTTATCACCAACGCGTACTATAACTTACTTGGAATCACACTGCTATGATAAATCCATGCTTATAGACATTAGATTACAGCTGGTTTGAATCTTTTTCAAGTTGTATTTTTTGAGATTGGTAGTGCAATTGTATGGTAGACCCAGTTTGTCTCATGTTGTGTTTTGGGAGTTAAAGAAATTTTATTTTCTCTTCTTATGCGATTACAGTTATGTCTGGATTCAAGAAATTATCACTGAACAAGGACAACGTCATTTTCTGCTCTCTTGCTTTTTTCTTTTTTGCATGCCAACTATCTTCTTCCAGATTCATTACATGCAGAGGGAGAGCATCTCCTCAAACATTAAGAAAATGGGTGGATAGACTTCGCACATTTTGCAGGACAGTGTGAAATTAATTCCTTTTTGGAGTCCATTTAGCTAGATTTTGCTCCCTTAATATTCTGCATAGCCTCTGAAGATTACGTGCAATTTCACATGTTTTCCCAATCTTAATTTACTGCTTTTCTTATTCATCTTACTAACATCAACAAACTGGTATTTGGTCATTAGCCACAAATCTTGGCACTTACATTTATTCACTTTCATTCAACAAGTGGTCGAATGATGGTCTTAAGCATTACCACTTGCCTCCCAATACTTGAGCTCTTTCAATATTTGCTTTATGAATAGTTAAGCATTTTTAGTTTTTTACATTCATGATATGGATTTGCTGTGCATTTCAGGATGTCAGTACACATTTGACCTTCATATGGAGAATATTGATATTAGCTTTGCCTAGAAATGTCACGGCAATGTGATGGAGGACGACTCCACATCTCCTCCAAATTGCTAAATGCTACGTGAGGGTGAATTCTTCGACTTTTTTGTTTGCTATGTATTTGAAATTACCAAATGCGTGCAAGCATAAACATTTTTCGATTGCATTATAACGGGTGCTCGTGGTTTTAGAGCAAAGGTCATGAATTGACAAGTAGCGCACTGGCCAAACGCCCCAAATGTTGTCAACAGTTCCACTGTTCCGGAAACTGGAAGTAAAAAAGGGACATGGATTTGTAGTTAATGATCGGAACAGTTCAGTAGATGATTTCAATCTGACCACTTGAACAGAGAGAAAAAGGCAGGGAAATTACTGTTGCTGATGTTTTACTTAATTGAAATGGTTGCAAAAAAGATGAAGCAGACCTTCTGGTGGTAAGAGTGACACCTTGTATGCAACTGAAACTGATCAGAACGGCAACGGATCAAGGTAACAAAATCACCCAAAAAATGCAGTAACCCTCTGCGTCTTCTTATTCATTGTTCCTTTTGTTTTCTTTTTTCTGCTTCTGATTTTTAGTTACATATCCCTTTGCCAAAAGGCTAAGAGTGGAAAAATTAATAATTAAAGAAATTGTGTTTGTTAGATTTATTTAAACTCGTGACTTCTTATCCTGTATTGGAAATAGAAGTTTGTCTACCACTACGTTAATTTTGGGAAAAAATGTTTTTTCTTATATATTTTTTGGCATTTGGTATTACAGAAAACAACACACAACGAAAAACATTTTTTTATGGTCAATGGAAAACAGTGTTACGTTTTTCACTTTTGAAAGGTGAAAACATTTTTCAGAACCATCACTATCACCATCGCCACCACACATGCTACCACCACTGTCACCGCCACGCTGCTATTGTCACCACTGCCACTGCTACTGCCACCATTTCATCCGCCTCCACCATCCCACCACCACCACCTTATCCACCTTATCACACAACCGCCACTGTCACCATCGTTGCTACTGCCACTGCCACTGCCACCCACCACCACCACCACCACCACCATCCTGATATACAACCACTAGCACATTAGTTATAAAGTTGCAACCAAACATAGGAAAATGGAGATATAGTTAACACTTTGAGAGTATGGTTATGGGTTGGCTGATTCACCTACCGAAACTGTGATCAAATGTTTAGAGGGAGAAATAAGTTGAGTAAAGAGAACTAGGTAGATGCCTGTAATTAAATTGAGAAAAACGATAGTTGTAGTTTGAACTGGTAGTTACAGCACAACCCTCCCTGCAAAGTACTTATATAGGCAGTTAGACAAAGAGTGAATTTATCAAGCTGGCCAATGACCATTAGGTGATACCTACGGTTCAAAAAGTCATTGACAACTAGTCTTGCTGGAGAACTAAACAGATTCTAAAACACAAACTAGAGAGGGAGAGAGAAAGAGAGGGAGAGTTTGTATGTTGTATGATAAGTCACTTTAATTGTGGTGCAGGCCCTGAAGGATGATGAAAAATGGGTATGCATCGCCGCCATCGTCATCCCCTCCAACACCTTCATCCCCTCTTCCAATTAGTGTAGGACCGGGCAATCATAGGTATTCCTTCTCTTCGTCTCAGTCTCCCTCGCCACCCTTCTCGCCTCCTGCTTCAAGCCATACTTCCGCTGAGAACCTCCCGCTTCTACATGCTGTTGTCGACAAGTCCACCCCACTCAGAGCACCGCCATTGGCTTTTTCGCTGGATCGTCGGAACCCTTCTGATGAGTCGGATTCGAGAAGTTCATGCCTAAAAGACTTGTAAGCTCTGTCTCTCTCTCTCTCTCTCTCAGTGCAGTTGTAGTTGGAATGAACAGAATTTTTACAGAACTTTCAGGAAGTATATGTATGTTTTCTAGTGAAGATAGAGTTGAAGATTTATTCTTCACATTTGATTCTCCTGAAGTTCTGTAATTTTTCATTTTATTTAATTAATTATTTATTTTGGTCTGGGCAAGAGAAACAAGATCAAAACAGAAGTGCATTTGGTTTTAGAATTTAAACAACTGGAAAATAACTCTGCATCTTCCACCAAAATGATACATTTCCACGTTTTGCTTGGCCTGCCTTGGAATGGCCATGATCTCTCTCTCTCTCTCTCACACACACACACAGAGACACACCCACCTTCTTGGAGATCTATTGACTGGTAGGACTGTCTCAACCCATTTACTTGTAGTTGTAATGTTTTGAGGCCACACATGTTCAATTCAAATTCCCAACAACCAGTCAAAAAGTGATTCTTACATTAATACACAAGTAAAGAACCTTAGAAAAATGTTCATGACTGGTGGATTCCCTATCCCGATATTTATTTGTTTGGTTTGGAGTTTTTAAAAATAATTTTCTAAGTTTTCAGTTTGTATTTTTGTATTTTTAGTGATTTTTTATAAATATTTTAATCATTTTTTTTTACTTTTTAGATCCACTTATTTTTGATGTACTTAAAAAGTATAAAATTTGTATAAAAAATTATAAAAAAATTCATTGAATATAATAAAATATGAAAATGTGCTGATTTTTTTGTTTTAAAATATTTTTTGTATTTGGTAAATTTTTATAAAATTTATTTTTCATAAATATTATACTTTTTAATTGTATTTAGATTAAGTGTATTTAAAAAATAAAAAATTTGCGGAAAATATTTATAAAAAATTCACTGGAAACAAAAAAAAAAAATCAATTTGCATAAAAACATAGATAACCAAACAATTCAAAATCTTTGTCTATCTGTCTTCTCTTCCAACCACGATATAGTAAAATACTTCTATTTTTTTTTTAAAGAAAAAAAAAATCATCATCCAATCTTAATTTTTGACAGGCCGCACATAAAAATGGGTTCCAACCTTTGAACGGTACTCGCTAATTGGAAACAGACTTTTTGTATCAAAATTTTGAGAATTGATTTATAGTGGAAGAGCATTGCTTGGTTATAACTTGTGAATTGATGGTAGATAGGGATGTAACCGGTTTGGTTCGAAGTATATATTTAGTATTGAATCAATCTTTTCGGTTTTTATGATTAAGAAATCAATATATATTGTATATTACGGTTCGGTTTTGTCGATTTGATATAAAAGAGAAATTTAGATAAAATTTTAAAAAGTTTTATGGTAGATTATAGAATTTTAAATTGAAAATAAATGAAGAAAACATATGAAACTTACTCTATAAATGTTTTTTTCCTAATTTTTATTACAAAAGTGTATTATATTAATTATTTCTCATATTATATTTAAGAAATTATAATATAAAAATATTTAAATATAATATTTGGTCAGTTCGTTTTGTATCGGTATAAAAAGTTTGAAAATTGAAACACACCGTATGTTATGAAAAATAGATCGAAAACTAAAATTTCGATCGAAATCGATCGGTCGGCTCGATTTTATCGATTTTTCTTACATCCCTAACAGTAGATATACGAGGCCATGCAATGCAAGAAATTGGTGTATTCATTCCCATACTAATTACTAGCTTTTTTTTTTTATTACAGTATAAATAAAAATAATATAATGTTTTCAAAAAGGCTACTTTTATTTATTTGTGTGTTTTAATGGAAAGGAATGCAGGTTATTATGGCTGGTGTTAAGATGCTGCGGTTGCTGCTCTGCCTCTCCCAGAATTCCAAATCCGAATCCAACCCACACACGCACCGCCGATGTATTACTAGCAGCCCAACTTTGTCACATGGCTTCGAGAGAAAGAGATTGACTTAATGCGGTGTCCGACAAAATAATACAAATTTAACAAAATTTACTTGTATGGAAGTCCATCTTTTTGTTTTTCAATTTTCTAGATTTTTTCTTTTGTAAACCTCTTCTACAACATAGGACATGAAGAATATTTTCTTTACAAAATGAAAATTAACTTCCAATTTTCCAGCTTGAAATGTTGACATTGCTAGGAATCATGAAAATAATGGCCCAAAAAAGGAAAAGAAGAAAGACAAACAAAAAAAGAAGACAAACAAAAAAATCAGCTAAAAAAACCAATGTCAAATGAAGACTAAGAAACCCCACAAACTTGGAGAAATATCTGATTTTATTTTACCAATAAAAAGGCTTAAAAAATAAAGCCACACCCCACTTTACCTTGAAAGTTATTAACAACTAATAAAACCCAGCTTGTAGGCAAGTTATTAACAACTAAAACCCAGTTTATCTGTACTGAAGTGCGAGACTGTATTATGTCACTGTTGGTTTTGCTGTCGCTGTTGCTGAAAGTTAGGATGATTTTGTTGAGCATTCTGGAGGGCGACCATACCAGGTTGTAAATTCTGAGGATTTTGCGGCATGTTTCCAAATGCACCTTGCGAGCCATGTTGCTGTTGGATTGGCATCATATTCCCAGGATTGCCTCCTCCCATGTTGAACACTACCCAAGGAAAATTTTAGTTAATTTAACTTCATTTTTAATATATATATATATATATATATATAATAAAAATAAAAAAATAAAAAAATAGTAGCAAGGAACAATAGGAAGAGCAAAAACAAAACAACGTAAACTTAGTTGATAATAAGTTGAAGGTTGACGACTACAAAAAGGATGTAGTTCATACTTTGATCACTCAGAATTTGATTCCGATTGGTGCCAGATAATCCAAACTGATAGTCATAAAATGGGCACAACAAAAACAAATTAGGGCATTGATCAATGACAAAATAAAATAAAATTCAAACTTAATATATGGAAACCAATACAAAATTTATGGCAAAGAAATGCCAATAGTCCACATAAAACCTTACAGCATGTAAGAAGTAGGTGACTAGCTACATGGGAAGCTATACTGTCTGTCACAAAGGAGCAATTATTTGTTGCCGTGAGTGGCAGTTACGTGGCAATGTCACAAAGCGATCTGAGCCATTCTCAGTATGTCACCAAAAAAAAAAGAATTTTTTTTTTTTTTTTTTTTAGTAGTTTATGTATTTATTATTTTTTTTTTTTTTTTTTTTGCTTTTGGATTTTTTAAAAATTGTTTTACTTTTTAAATCCTTTTAGATTAGGACCCAAAAAGCAAAGACTTGAATTTAAAAAATAATCATAAATTACTTGAGACAAAAAAAAATTCAATAAAAATGTGACTTTTTGATCTGTTGCCAAATTACCACCAGCAGTGTTAGCTAAAGAATGGTATTGGTCTAGGATGTCAAGTCAATACTCAATGCAGCTAATCACCAATCAGGGGATGGCACCTCAAGTGTAGAATCTGTGTTATATTCCTTACGACGTTTTGGTTACTACAGCATTGCCCACAAATCAGGAGAGAGAAACAGGTAAAGCCAATTAAATTCTGACCTGCATCCTTGGCATAAGTGATTGTGATTGCATTGCAGCTGACATGTTTGACATCTGTCATGGACAAAAAAAATGCATCAGGCCAATATAGAAAAAATACTACATATAGAATGGTTTATCAAAGGACAAGGTTAGTCACAGAACAATGCAAATGAACAAAAAATAGGCACTAGAAAATGAATTCAATTATGAGTTGGCACTGAAAAAGGCAATATAATAATATAGTACAAAACATGCTGTCAAACTTCAGATAACAGGAAAGATTCCTATTTCTCAATGTGTGCAGAAATGGACTTTTGTGAGTATTGTTTGTACACTACCCAAAAACTTGGGGACAGCAAACTACCAGTGAATACAGAACACCCTTTTTGAACATATGAACTGGATGAACCGTTTACAAGGAAATAGAAACCATAAGAGCTATTATCAAATCCAGAGATGCTACAAAATATAAAATTCCAAGGTACATACTTAAAATAGCAATGCTTTTTCTTTATTTTCTTTATTATAAGATTAAAAAAGAATAAAGAAAAGTTACTGTTCAAACTTCAACCCAACAAATAAGAAAAGGGAAAAAGCAAATGACGATTGAAAACCATAGAATGAAACATGTATTTATGTAACTCACCATTTGGGTATTTGGAGTACCCTGAGCAGCATTAAACAATGCACTATTGGCAGAGCTAGAAAACTGGTTTAAATGACGATTCAACTGATTCCCTTGGTTGAGTTGGCTTTGACCAATGGCATGCTGAATGGGTCCAGAAGGCAGTTGCCTACCCTGAAATTGCTGGGCTCCCAATGTCTGAGAGAACTGCATTTGGTGCTGACCATGTAACTGGTAAAAAGATGGTATTGATCACACAATTAATAAGGAGTTGTGTGAAAGGAAACACAAGTACAACAAATGCATCATAGATAAAATTATGATTCCACATATTAGGTTAAACAAAAAAAAAAAAAAAATGCTTAAATTCTGTCTCTAAGAGAGAGAGAGAGAGAATTTAAGGCTGTGTTTGGTTATGTTCTATAAATATAATTCCGCCCCTCCATTTGCATTTCATGTTTGAATGAAGTTTTTAAAATGTGATTCCACCACACATTTTAAAATGTAATTCTCCTTCACATTTGGCTACTCTCTCTCTTTCGTGTTCTCCATTTTGAAAAGTAGAGGATTTTTGAATTTTCGGTCTACCCGGTCATCCACCTGGACATCCGGCCAGTTGACAGGAACAGCGTATTTTTTTTTTGGCAATTGCCAATCGCCACCTATTATTTGTTAAAAAAAAAAAATTATATTTGTTTTTGATATTTTTTAAATATAAAAATTATTATTTTTAGACCAAAATGACATTTTTATTTTTATTTTATTTGAATGTTAAAAAGAGGTTGATTATGAGTTTTGAATAGAGTTTTGAGTTGTGTGTTTGGTTATAAGTTATAACTTTTTTTCAAAACTCATAAACAAACAAATTTTCTTGCTTCACATGTCACATCAAACATTCAAAACTCAATTCAACACTCAACTCAAAACTCAATTCAAAACTCATAACCAAACAAATTTTCTACACTCAAATCATAATTCCAAAACTAACAAACTCAAAATACAATTCTATATTCAAATCATATTTCTAAAACTCTCCCAAACACTACCTAAGTGTAGACACATTCTTATATTCACAATATTGTTGACCAAGAATCTTTGGACATCCCCCATGCATCAACCAAACTATAAATTTTGATGTAATTACAATTAATTGAAATTATGAAAAGAAATTATAATGCTTACAGTAATTATAACACATTTCTCAAGTTTAATCCTAGCATAAATTGAATGAGACAAAATGATTGAATTAGGGACGTAAAAGTACCTGGTAATGTAAAGATACAATTCTATTGAAAAAACATGGAGCAAATCAAGAACCATAATCAAACTTTTTAAGAATTTAAACAAGCTGAATTGAACTTGGGATTTATACATTAAATCAAATCTTGAATACAAAAAGTGTGACATGGAGAGAAGAGGAAGATGAGGGGGAAACAACTTCCAATTGGTGTATTAAACAGTTTCCCTTATCCTAGTAGAACCCTTTAATAGACATAGAATAGAAAATAAATAAATAAAAATGTAACCTTCCATGTGCATGCACAAGTGCTTGCCTAATTAGATGTGTATGTTCTATACAAGATTATATACATGCGAAGGAATAATAAACAGGACTCAGAGAAGTCTAGCGTAAAGTTACCGTCTGAAATTTCTGCTGAGCCTGCCCCTGCAAATCCTGCAGCTGTGCCAGTTGGTTCTACAAACAATATTGCAACTTCTATTAGGACAGCTATTGCTTCATGCAAAAGAGATCTAGCTCATGAATGTTACAGAACATATATCTAGTTTGAGCCACCAGCATAGGGAAATAAGGAATGAATGCTTTAGCAAACTTTCTGTAGACCATAATGGAGAAGGGATGAGCCAAAAAGTGGAGGAAATAACAGTTCAGCAGTAGAAAATTTTTCAGAGTTTTGGGAAAGAATGATTCGGATGCCCGTGTGTGTATTGGATTGAGAATGAGTGATGATACTAGAGAGAAAGAGAGATTTCAAGAAATATTCCTATGGAAAGCAAGCTTTGCATTAACAAACCATACATACAAAAAAATAAAAATTCAAAACTTCCAGCCCTCTCCATAGTGCTTCAACAAAGTTTAAAAGAGTTTCAAAATTCAAAAAGTTCATTCTTTACATAAGAACATAAATTGCTGTTAAAGTTGAGGGTTAAAACCAGTATCATCAGTCAGGGAACAACACTACACAATAGAAAATATATACTAAAATATGTGTGTGTGTGGGAGTTGGCAGTGAGGCTGCACACATGCCCACACACAATGATGTAACAAGTTGCCAGACTTACCTGACCATATAGTGAGAGAACATGAGCTTAACAGAGCAGTGTTTTCAATTCTAGCACCTCATTTTAATTAAGAAATGCAGCAGCTCCAAAACACTTTAAACTACAAGTTGTACCTGTCCCAGTCCAGGAAGTGAAGCTTGCCTAAATTGCTGTTGTTGGGCTAAGAGTTGCTGCTGATGCTGAGGCAATTGCATCATTTTCTGCCTTTGCTGCTGCTGCTGCTGCTGTTGTTGTTGTTGCTGCTGCTGCTGCTGTGATTGTTGCTGAGGAGAAGGTGTATTCATCATATTTGTGCCAGACCTAGGAGAATTGGCATATGGAAGTGGAGATGCTGCTGCACTATCAAAGGGGGTCGCCGCTGTAGCACCAGAAGGAGAAGCAGCTGCTCTTCCAATGAGTTGTGCACCAGAAGCCTACATTGAAATTATTTGTTAGAGCACGGAACAATATTATACAGAGTTTATAATATGTTCGCAGAAATAAAGCAACTATCAACCAAAAAAGGTACAGATAAGGGAAAAAAACTATAAACAATCTGCTTGAAACTGAGGGGAAAGCAAAGACACAGAAATGACAAGAACAGAAAGCTCCCTATAAGTTAATGTGATTTCCATGATATGTATCTCAGTACGAATTTACACAGGCTGAATGCAGCTACAGTGAAGAGAGAATTATTATCCATTAAAAAGCACTTTGAAAAGTACTCATTATTATGCCTTTTGAGGTTATAATTCCAGTTTCTTCTCATTTATGAGGTGGACAATGACAAAGAAGAAGAGGAGAATCATACAATAAGGAACAGTTCACATAAAAGAGGATGAGGAAGTTCTTCCAAATAGTGATCAATAGCAATTCTAACCTCTTCCCTTCTCCTCGACTTATTAGGGAAAACGTTCTTCAGAGAATTGTGTTTTTCGCAAAATATAAACTTATACTGCATTCAATTCAACGAAGCATGTGATAAAGAATGAGAAATTCTTATTTGCAAAGAACAAGCATGGGCAATGCAAGACTAGACCAGAATAGCCTAGATGAGTGTATAACAAATGCACAAGAGATTCCATTAGGAGCTGAAGCAGCTTTGTTATCTTTAGGATTGATATGAAACAGCAAGTTTGGGGGGAAAAAATGAATTTAATGGTGAGAATTAGAAACCAACCTGTAACAAATTACCCTGACTGTTAATGTTGTTTGATGACAGCGGAGGAGTATTCTTCATATACATGCCTGAGAGGTAATGCCACCTTATCAACATCAAGCAACAAAATCTGGAATAGAAATTTATACTCATGCTCTAGTGACAAATGATGAACCTTACCAGATGCATCAGGAAAAGTCTGTGGACCATCAGCCACAGTGAGTACATCTACAAGATGCAACGGAAGTGCAGATGTAATCTGCCTGTGGTCTCCAGTCATTCGCAAACCTGCATACACATGCCAGGTCTATGAAATCAAAGATAGCAAGCATATACCCAGACTAATGAACTAATGTTGTTTCTATAGATTGGAGAGAATAATATACAGACTTGGGAAGCCCAAAACAAGGGCTGGGGTTCCACATGGATTAAAATCCATTCATTCCAGGGAAAGTGTCTTCAGTAGCTGTTGGATCCTTCAATTACTTTTTTTTAGTCTTACATTTGTCAGATATCAATTATTTTTAGATAAAGAGAACCAATTTTCAGATTATTGTAACACTGTAATTCAAAATATTAGAGGCAGTTTCTTTTCTTGTTAATGCAGCTCGGTATTGTTCAGGCTACAACAGCCTTTTGCATATTCTGGTAAACCATTTTAAGATAGGTTATTACTGATAGTCGGGATTATATTGATTCAAGGAGTAGGTTTACCAAAATGTGAATAAACAGGAGAGACTAAGAATCATTGCCATGCGGATTTTAAGTCTAGCAAAGTTGTAATCATTTCTTCCAAAAATAGGGAACACTCAAATAACTACAAGCAAATGAAGCCTTGTCATGCTTGAAATATGTGAGTGGCCTCAACTCTTCTCTTTCTTTCTCTTAAATTATCTGCAACAATGTTTAAAATTGCTACTTTCACCCAAACCTACTCCTAAACAATTAGAAAAACTGTCTTAATCCCTAATTCCACTTCAGAGCCCTTGTTACAAACTCTTAGTCATTTCTTAACTAGTTATAGCCAACCCTAACTATAGCTCTTCACTATAGCAAGTCCCACAGGAATGTGAATTATCCTGTGCTGGCAACAACTTTTGGCTCTATTCTTCTTATCTTTTGACCAGAAAATGCATTGTTCAATGGGGATTTGCTAGCAAAACTTAGTTGTTCCAAACCAGAACACAAGAATGCACACTACAAATACCTAGGCAGGTGAAGATAATGATTTTGAAAAACTATTCTTAAAACTTCAATTCATCTTGAACTTCAAAAAGTTAAGCAGCAATGGATGGTGCATTACAAACACGCTACCAAAACTTTTTTTTTTTTTTTTAATAAATCAAACACGCTACCAAACTTCTCAAGGTTTTAGCCAAGATTCGAGCAAAAACAAGAAGAGTGTGAAACATGACAACATGCACACAGTTGCTGCAACTTCTGACAGCTTTGACTTCTTTGACCTTCCATAATTATACAGGAAATTATCTATGAATGAGCAATTGTGCAACTCAATCATTTATACAAATATTTATTCACAAGAAAGGTCATTCACATGTATTTTTCAATATATTCTCATTCTTCAAATGCCTGTTTGAAATTTTTCACACCATTTCACAATCCGAAAGCTCATGCCACTAGTATCAATCTTTGCTCACATGTTGCACCTCAACTCCAACTTCTGTTACATTGCTAGCCCTGTGTTTACCTACATGTCAAAAGTTTTAGTACTCTCCAGGTTTTCGGCAATGAGATACAGCTAAATGTCCCAATCAGGTGTCTTGGGACATTCCCCTTACGAGGAAGGAACTGACAGGATTGGAAAATTGATGAGTTTATGGAGCTGTATTGGGTTTACTCAGCAAGAGGAGGAAGGGAGGGGTATGATGAGTGATGACATCCAGTCAGTAATTTCTCACAAAGGGAATTTGGGGGTTAGAGTGAGGAAGAGCTAGAGGAAAGCATGGCTACTACTAGTGCCCTTTTGCTTGATGTGGTTCATTTGGGGAGAATAAAATGGGAGAACTTCCAGGGCGTAGAGCAGGCAGGTGCTATATAGATTGAAGATCAACTTTTTGACTATTTTGTATAGTTGGTTATCAGGGATGGTTAATACATATCTAGGCCTTTTTTTGGACTATAGAAACCATGGAGGTGTAAGCTTCCTCTGATAATCTCTTTTTATACAGGTTGCATCCCCTGACCTTGATGTTATCTCAGTAAGCTTGAACTGCCCATGTAATAAGGCCTTAATCATACAAATGATGAAAGTCAAGGGTCATTTCCATCCGATAAGAAGCCAATGAATAATGACTAATCATTTAAGAGTTATGCAGTTTTCAGCGGCAATGCATAGTTAGCATTGGACTAGAATGGCTCAAGATTCACAATCTTAGATTATCTAAGCACGTATAGAACTTAAGAAAAACAAATGAGGCAGACTTGATAACAAAGGAAAACCATTTTTCTCAAAAACTATATGGTGAAAGCAGAAGTGGAGAATCACACCATCACCATGATTTACAGCATTCCGAAGTAAATTCTCATGTTCTTGAATCTTTGCAGCTTGACCCTTGTCTAAAGTTGGAACAGTTGTAGGCCCCTGTCGAGTGCTAAAATAGGCTTTACGAGTATCAGCTATAACTTTTTCAGCACTTTCACAGGCTGCTCCAATCATATCAATTCTCATCTGTAAAAATAGAATGCATGCTTGAGTAAAGAGTTATAAGACAACAGAAAATTGGTCGCTTCATTTTTGTTTAATCACCTTTAATTTTTCAATTTGTATGGGTACTGGCAGGATTTGCATCCCATGTAACAACTGCTCTCTCTTGACATTGTCATCCATTTCCATCTCAGGCAACAGCTTTGATGACAACATAACAGGCAGAACTGTATCCACAGAACCCCATTACTTTCATGGTAAAGAAATTACATATTGCAAATGGTTATTAAATCAGATGCAGGTCGACAAGCTAACAAAAAAGACTAAGAAATTCTGCAGCCTGCATATTAGTATATATATATATAGAGATCTGATGTATTTCTTCAACAAAAAAATAAAAAATAAAAATAAATAAATACCAGTGTCAATCTTATACTAAGTCCCAGATTCCTTTCAACCGCTACAAAAATCAAATTGGCTTGGCATGATAAAAGAACACAAGTGTCCACCTCATTGAGAACACTTTTGATGTTGTGGGCAGTATTTCAACCATGGATCTTAAAAATTATGTATAGCCCTGACCTCAGTAGGGTCGCAACTCATGAAACACATATAGGTAGAGGCATAACGAAGGCATAATAATCAGTGTTTACTTCTGTTAGGAAAACTTTGGAGTTATTAGGCAATTTTCTAACATATGTTACATGGACTCGGGTACAAGTATCGGATGTTGTTGTGTGTCCAACCTTCAAATCTTTCTAAACCTAAATCTTAGGGTATGGGTACAGCGACATGTCTTAAACTGTTTAAGACTTACATATCTTACGTATTGCATAATATTCTTAAATAAGATGTTGTAAATTATTTAGAAATGCACTACAAATGAAATGGGATTTGAAGAAAATACGAAATTTATGTATCTCATTCATGTGAGAAGTCAGAAATATTTCTTTAGTAGCAAATCTGAGCATTGTCTTCTTCAAACATTATATCATATTAATGGATCCGAGTGTCTAAATTGAACACGAGTGTCTAAAGAGTCCAACCCTTGTCCCTCCCTTTCTTTTAAAGACTTGTATCAGCCTTGCGCTCTTACTAGTAGTGATATAGTTCCTATGAATTACAAAGAATATCCAAAGAAAGATAATTCAATAAATTAAATTTTATTGAGCTGAATTGAGAAAATATATACTAGAACACTTTTGGCAGAGTATATCAAGCAACTATTCTCATTATGATTGTTTAGCTAATCAATCTAGATTCCTTAATGTTGTGTGTGGTTGGGAATTTGGAGAGGGATTTGAAAAGAAAAAATGAAAAGGCGTGTGAAACTAGGTGAAATCTAAGTATATTTTATTCAAATTTCACCTAACTTTTCCTTCTAACTTTCCATTTCCAAATCTCTTCTCAAATTCCCAACCAAACACAGCATAGTTGTTTGCACTTATGTGTGACAGTAATGTGGAGGAATAAATAAAGATGAATACTTGTAGCATTCTCGGCATTAACGTTCTTCGGATGTACAACAAAAGCCTTGGAGACCTTCTTAATGTCTTCCACAATGTTGAAAAGCTCAAGATTCACCATAGAAAATTGGCCCAATACATCTTGCCTGAAACACAAAAACAAAAAACCAAGTATGTCAACACAGCACCAAATTCACATATCAAGTGAGTGAGTGAGTGAGAGAGAGAGAGAGAGAGCCCTAACCATTTGGGGACCGAATTGGTGCGGGAAAGGGCGTCAATCTCTTCAAGGATGCGAGAAATGGCTTTGAAGAGGCTGATGGCTCGAGTCTTGACGGAGTCGAGGTTGAGTTGTTGCTGCACCGCAGGGTTCAACCTCTCAACAACCTTCTGTTGCTGTTGCTGTTGCTGTTGCTGTTGAGGCTGCTGGGTTTGATCTTGCGCTCCCAATACGCCTTCCATGCCTGCCATGCCCGATAATCGACACCAAAATTAAAACTCCGCCTCTGAAATCAATCGCTTTGTACGAATGAATCAATGAATGAATGATTTGAGGACGAACGAACGAACGAACGAATGAAATCAACCCTAAGGCTTTATTTGGCATAACCAATTAGTCAGTATCTCCGTTTCGTTTGGTTTGGTTTTTTAAAAGAGTTAGGCCTCGGGCGGGCATTAGTCGGTTTAATTAAAAAGTTATTAAAAAAAATTACAAAATTAATTATTTATATTAAAAAGTCAAAAATTCTTTTTTCTCTTTATTTTTTACATATTTTTTTGTAAAAAATTAAAAATTCATCTCAAACATACCAGTTTTTTTTAATTCATATTTTAACTAAATAGCTAAAAAATTACTAAATTAACATGTTCCCAAACGAGGCCTTAGTACATTATATTTTGAAAGTTAAAGCGTTAAATACGTTTAAATTTTTTTAAAAAAATAGAATAGTTACTGATAAAATAAAAATTCAAAAATTTATTTTAGAAGATTTTTTTTTTTTAAATCCTTGATATTTAGATTTTATAAGATAAATGGCATATAATATTTTCATAATAGTTAAGGTCCCTCAACATTTCTACAGAGATAATTTATTTAAAAAATATATATATCTATATAATAAAGCAGGACAGATTTTGAAAATATGTAAAATATATCAGAGATACATTTCATTTTAAGGGCTCAGATCAATTGTGATACACATCAATGGTTAAGATTTTGCTCCAATTCCCGCCCAAACACTTGGTGCTCTCTCTCACCTACCCACGTCTCCTCCCCCATTCCATCTTTATCTCCTCTGTGTTGCACTTCTCCTTCTATTCCTTCATTATCTCTATTTCCTTCTTTGTTCCTCTTCTTTATCTTTCACAGAGACGCTACCCGATCTCTGGCTCTCCTCCCACCGTTTAAGACTTACATATCTTACGTATTGCATAATATTCTTAAATAAGATGTTGTAAATTATTTAGAAATGCACTACAAATGAAATGGGATTTGAAGAAAATACGAAATTTATGTATCTCATTCATGTGAGAAGTCAGAAATATTTCTTTAGTAGCAAATCTGAGCATTGTCTTCTTCAAACATTATATCATATTAATGGATCCGAGTGTCTAAATTGAACTGCCTCTCCCCTTCTCCCCCCTTTCGCAAGATCACTCTGTTGATTTTGATCTAGGGAATGATCTTCATGATCACTCTGTTGTTTGATTTTTTATAAATTATATAGATTTTTTACAAAGAATCTGGATATAGACCCACATTCTCATATTCTTATAGATTTTTTATTTGTGAGTATATTTTTATTTTATTTGGATACCCAGTTTTATAGATTATGTAGATTTTTTATTTATATATAGATTTTTTTATAAAGGCTGTGATCTGCAAGCTATGGAACTCTCTCAAACTCTGTAACGATCTGTAATCTATCAAACGATCTGAGCTCTTCAACATAGGTATGTAATTCTCATATTCTTATAGATTTTTTATTTGTGAGTATATTTTTATTTTATTTGGGTACCCAGTTTTATAGATTCTGTATATTTTTTATTTATATATAGATTTTTTATTGAGGCTGTAATCTGCAAGCTATGGAACTCTCTCAAGCTCTGTAACGATCTGAGCTCTTCAACACAAGTATGTAAATATCTCTCTCTCAAACTCTGTTTTGTTGGGTTCATCGACTGATTAGGTTGATTTATATTTCATTTTTCATTTTTTTATCATTGAGAATTATGTCGGGTTTTTATTGGTGGTGATTTTATATATATATATATACAAACGCCTGCATGCATATATATATGATGTACATGATGTGTTTTTAACTTCTGATTAAGGGCGTATGAAGGGTTTCGTAGGTATTGAATCTATGCTTGGATTGTTTATTTATGTTAAGGATTATGGGTATTGATCTAATGGGAACCCAATTTCAAAGATCCAACAGTCACTTCTTTCATTTGACGATTCGGATTTTCTCAAAACTTCACTGTTTTGTTGGGTTTAACTTCTGATTAAGGGCATATGAGGGGTTTCGTAGGTATTGAATCTATGCTTGGATTGTTTGTTAAGGGTTATGGGTATTGATCTGACGGGAAAAAAATAATTATTTGTTTGTAATTTTGTTGTGTGATCTGTTTTTTTGGAAGGTTGATGCTAGGTTTGTTGGACATTCATTCTAAATGAGAAATGGTTTTTATTTGGTTTAATTATCATGTTTTGTCGATTTGATGTTACTTTGATGTGGTATGAAAGATAGTGTAATGGGTTCACGGATTTGCACTTGTGGTTTGCTTCCAATTTGAAAGATTATTCTTTTAATGAGTGGAGATGTGTTTTCAATTTGATTAATGTTAGAGTTGTAAATTTGAAAACTACAAATCATGTTGAAAATTTGATTTGGGTAAAAAATGTTTAGAACTTAATTTGGTGTAAGTTTGATTCAAGGAGTGGAGATGTGTTTTCAGTGATTTTTTACTCAAATTTAAAATTGTTTATGTCAAGGGTTGGATATATGTTTAGGTGTTGTAGTTACCATGCTTATTACAGTTATAGTTCATTGTTTTGAAGTGTTATATGGGTTTAATGGAATTTCAGTTATTGTGCCAATATCTTAGGAAGGATGTCCTATGGCGTGGTTCCATTTCATGGCACTCTTACAGTTTCTGTCGTATTTTTAAAACAATTGAAAAATGGTTACTATACACTTTCGGTCTAATTGAAGATGGGTCGAATTTTAAAACAATTTACAGCAGTTTAAAAATGGTTTAGAGCAGTTTCGAGATGTGAAATTTACAGTTAAATTTAAGGGGCATTCTTAGAAAACGATAAAAATGTGACGAAGCCTCTTCTTCTGCAATGTGTGCTTTTAATAAAAGAATAGATGCGTATGATGTTATAAATGAAAATATAGCACATAACATCTCAGTGTTAGCCAACATATATTTATGCCCAGTAAATTGATTTCCCAAAGAGTTAAAACACAACTTGAACTTCGTCGAAAACAGAATTGCCTGGATTCTCATGTAGGTAAATCTCCAACAATGAGAGAACACGAAGTTTGAAGAGCACAAGCTGGGATTGAGCAGTTTCACCCCCAGCTTGGTTCTTACGCTCTTTCAAAATTTTTGCAATCCATACGGAACATTGCATCATCATCCATTCCCCCATCAGAGTCATCAGAAGCTTCGGGATGTTCTTTGTCAACTGCCTCAAGTCCACCTACTACTTCAGAATTATCTATCTGCAAGTTTTATTGTTATTTATATAGATTTTTTTAAAAAAAAAAAATTTATGTAGCTTATGGATTTGGATTTATTTTTTAAAAAAGTTTTAAGTCTGACATAATAGTTGATCTTTATAAAATGGGTTTTGATTTTAGAAATATATTTTTATTTTCAGTTTGATTTATGAAATGGATTTAATTTCTTAATGAAAAATGAGTGTTGATTTTTTATGATTTTCAAAAAAGCTTTTGAAACGGGTGTTGATTTTTCTTCATTTAACAAAATCAAATCACAAATTTAAGATAAAATAGAGTGAAAAAAAAAATACAGAGAGAAAAATCGAACAAAGGAAATAAAGGGTTTGTTATTTGAGCTCTGAGAGTAAATGTAGTGTTTGTTAAGAGATGAGAGAGGATGAGAGGAGGAAATGAGAGAGAGATTAATATTGTACTTTTTTGGATACAGAGAGAGAGAGAGAGAGAGAGAGAGAATGAGTATTTTAAATACTGTACTTTTTTGGATGGTAAAATTCTATAAAATGTTTAATAAAAATTTCAAATATAAATTAATATTTTAACTTAAACTTTTAGTAATGAATTTGATAAATTATATTTTAACTTAAATGAACCGTCATTGTACGATATCTTGAACTGATTTATTATAATTGATTTCTATAACCATGAAATTATTATTATTTTGAATTGATTTTTTTGTAAAGGATGTGATACCAATATTAATAATTTATGTTAATTGATTTTTATAAAATATATATACCGTGCCACGCTAGTATATATATATGAGAGAAGAGAAAAAAATAAAAATAAATTTTATTAACCAAGTATGTTTTTAAATTTTTTATCTAAATTTTAATTTGAAAACTAAATCAAACACTGCGTTTTATCTTTTTAAATTTTTTTTTCTAATTCACTAAATACAAAAATAACTTTTAAAAGAAAAATCTTATAAAAAATGGTTTATTTTTGTCTTTTTAAAATATTTTTGAAAAAATACAAATGTTTTATTTTTAATATAATGTAATTGAAACCAATCTAATAAATAAAGCAAAAATGTTTGAGATTTCTAAATAAGGAGCTTCAGAGGTGAGTTCAGAGCCTCTATCGCGTTTTCCTGCGGTGGATCTTGCGATGCCCCGAAACGACGTCGTTTTGGGACAAAACTTCAATTAAAAAAAGAGAGAAAAAAAACAGACAGAGAAAGAGGGAAAGAAGAAGATGTATCAACAAACTCAACATTTCGAAGCTCCGAAAACAAGTCTTGAATGTCTCCAAAAAAACCGATTTGAATGCAAATCAAACACCTTTAGTTGCTGAAGATTCTTGATACCAACGGGAAACCCACCTGTAAAATTGTTTGATGACAAATTGAGATAATTCCAATGGGTCCGTAAAATTGATTTTTCGACAGATCTAAATGCTCTAAAGTAGTCATCGAACCCATTGAAAGAACTAATCGACCCGTGAGAGAATTCCCAGAAAGACTCATATTTTTAGCATTTTTAGACCACCTAATGTGAAGAACTTCAAGAGTCTATCAAGTGAAATGGAAGTGACATTGCCGTTGATATCGCAATCGACATCGTAGAATGAACTAGGGCAAGAGTTGGGATTTGTGAACAATTGGTTCCATGAATTGAAAACCTTTCTTAGTGGATCTTCAAGAAACACTTTTTTCAACTTGAGAAGTGATCGGACTTCGTCGGAGGAGGAAGAAGAAACAGGAATGGAAGAGAAGAGAAGGAAGAGGAAGACGAAGAATAATAGAAGATGAGAGACAAAGTGGGAGAGAGTGAGATTCATGGTGAGAAGAACCCTACAAATCACTCATTTTGATGAAGAGATTGAATGCTTGAAACCCTCTTTCTCTTCCTTTGTGCTTCTTCCCCTCTTTTCTCTTCTTTGGTTCTGTGTGTGTGTGTGTGTTTTTTTTTTTAATTAAAGTTTTGCCTCAAAACAACGTCATTTTGGGGCACCGCAGGATCCACCACAGGAAAACGCAGCAGAAGATACGAATGTTTTATTTTTAATATAATATAATTGAAACCAATCTAATAAATAAAGCAAAAATGTTTGAGATTTCTAAATGAGGAGCTTTAGAGGTGGGTCTCACTTTATAATTGTTGGAAAAAATGGTTTTATATAGGCATATTTTTTAACCCATTTTGGGTGAACCCCAAACGTCTTTTGGGGTGGGTTCGAAGAGGTGATGTGTTCCTTGCCGCGTGGCAAGTCACACGGTGAAGACGGAACGTTAAAACCATTTATGAGTGAATGGAAAGTTAACGTCGTTTTAGGGTCTAAACATTAATTTTTTAGACAAAATTCTTTTGAATTTTTTCAATAAAAATTAGTGTGAGAATTTAATTTAAATATAAATTTAAATTTAAATTTTAGTTTCCTGTATGTTTCCTAAAGTTTGTAATTTAAATTTAAATTTAAATTTAAATTTTGGTTTCCTAAAATTTTTTTACCTTTTCCTTTTTTAGATTAAATTATTTAAATAGTTTAATAAACATATTCAAATTGTTTGAATTTGTTCCACAAACAGCTTCTTAGTTTAAACTATTCAAATAGTTTATATTCCATCAGTTTTAAATCTTTGTCCAAACGGTTATTTTGTTTTATTTGTTTAAATAAAAAATAATAATATTGTTAAGCAAAGGTCCGTAACTGTTTGGAGTGTTAACAGGTGCAACCTGTTCGGGCTAAGTGCAGTGCCTATATATACCCTTGATTTCCAGCAGTTCTACAATCCGAAGATTAGTGATAATTGGTTCCTTTTTTGTTTGTCCAGATTTTATCTGATCTTCATTCTAGTTTAGGAAAAATTTAAAGAGAGTATTAGAACACAAGGTTTGGTTCGCCGAACAAATTTATTTGAAGTGCTTCTATAAATTTGTGAAGATCATTGTATCCTGGGAGATAGACGCCATTCAACCGTAAGCACCGTAGCGGGGCGAATCTGTCTTAAGGACAGAGTGTCACACACTCGACTTGGTCTTAATTTTATTTGGGTTCAATAAATAAATCTGGTATGTTATTTATTTGTTTTGTTTGAATTTATTTCAGTTTATTTTATTTACACAGAAGATTGTTCCAACAATGATTTGATATTTTGTCTTCTGATATTGTATTTTTTTTAATGTATTGCCACATCACTAAAATTGACATTAAAACTCCAACTCTAATGCTCACTATCATCACTCTAAATAAAGTGTTAATTAAAATCGGCTACTATAATACAACAGCACCAAGGCAGTCCTCCTACTATAAATAAATGCTTATTATGGTAAGCTGGAATGGTAGCCCAATTTGAAGGCCTTCAGGCTTATCTATTTTTGAAAGGGATTTTAGGCCTGTTTAATTTTAATAATGGCCCTGTGGACTACACAGCTTTGGTGGGCCTTAAAGCCTGCCCAGTTTTGGTAGCGCCCTTAGGCCTGCCCAGTTTTGGTGGGCCTTAAGGTCTGACCAGTTTTGGTGTGTCCTAGGCCTGTCTGCCCAGTTTTTTGTGGGTCCTAAGGCCTGTCCAGTTTTGTGGGATTTTGAGGTTAGGCCAGTTTTGGTGGGCCTTAAGGATACGTCGGTTCTATTTGGGCCTTGAGCCCTAACAAGTTTTGTAGTGGGCCTAAGGCCTCTCCACCCAAATTGGATATGGCTAGAGGTCGTGGCCAGTTTTGGTGGGTTTCCATATGGGCCATTTTCTTCTAATATGATGTACTACTTGCCGTGAGAAGTCAGAATTTTTAAGTCGAATTTTTTATTTCATTTTTTTAATTTTAATAATTTATAATTATAATTTGTTTTTGTTTTGCTAATGATTTTATTTTTTGTATTATTAAATTTTGAAAATGATTTTTTTTTATTTTTTATAAATTGTAATATAAAGAAAATAGTCATTCAAGGCATATTTGCAAATCTCAGATTATTTGCTATGAACACAACAAAATTTGAGAAAGATTCAAA